AAACTACATTTTTCTTTGATTTGCTAAAAGAGCCTTATAAATAACAGCTGAAGTTGACGATTAGATAACTTAATGCACATTATGTTGGTTATTTGAGTGCCATATTTTTAGCATTGGCACACAATGGGTTAATTTATAACGTATGTTTATGTATAGTATATGTATGTATATATATATATATATATGAAGCGCTGACTGTTCCATCTCACTTAGTCACGCGATTCCAGGCGCTGTCGTGGCGCTCCGCCTCGAAGAAGTTGCAAAGCGTTTGTGGCAGATTCTTGCGTTGCGCCTCATTGCCCTGGATGCGCGGAGGCGTGTATGTGGGCGTGGCTTTTGCTGTTGCTGCTGTGCTGCCGCTTTGCCTAATGCGCTCGACTGGCGCTTCCTGCGCCTGCTGCGTCTGACCCGTGACCTGCGTGCGCCACTCGTAGACTCGCGGTGGCGCCACACTTGATGGCTGCCTCAGCTGGATGGTGGCATGGCTGATGAAAAGCTTCGGAATTGCTGATGCGGCTGCCATCTGAGCGATTCGAGTTTCAATTTGCAACTGTTTTGCAAATGCGAACGCGACTTTGCTGCGGCTTTTGTTCTCCACTCAGCTGCGAGAGTCAACGCATGACGCATAACTAGCTCGGTTCTCTGTGTGTTAGTGTGTGAGTGGGTGTGTGCTGTTTGCTCTAGAAGATTTCTGAGCTGACGCTCGGCTCGATTGCATGCGGTTAGTCAAATTGTGACTGTGGCATTTTGGCACTTGAAACTGGTTACCTCAATTGGCCTCCAAGTCTTGACTAACTCAGGTAGGCTGGCGGGTAGATAGGCAGACAGAGAGACGGCACGCGCCCACATGCCACCAAATGTTAAATACAACAAAAATCAACAAAATAAACAACCAGTTATTTGTTCTTACCTTTTGCGAAGAATTTATTGAAATTTTATTGCTCAACTCGAGGGGTTGGCGCACTTTAAATCTAAATACACTTGCTTTGGATCTTATGATTTGCTCATCAAATGTGTAACGCTTAGAAGAAAACATGAGCAATATAGACGAATCCATTAGAATCAAATTATGCCCGTATTAAGCTTCTCTTTATCTTTAGTATCTTTGGGTCACTATATAATAAAACTTCCATTCTATGAACAATGTGGCTTTCCCGACAGTTTAATCAAACTTGTCTTTTATTTGTTTGCCTACATGTCTTTAAAATCTTATTAATATCGTTTGATTTTATATATCTCTTAAAAATAATATCTTAACTTATCTTACGAAGTGATAGTAAAACAAAAAATTGCATCGTTTAGCTTTAGTTTATTACAAAAACTTTATTAAAGCTAGGCTAGAAAACTGAAAGCTTCATCTGATATATGTCTCAAAAAGTATTTAAACTTCGTCACTTCGTAAATGATTATTCTTTGTTGTTGCATCTACATCTTAGATTCAACATGATAATTATAATTATCTTAGTTATAATTATCTTAATATGAAGTTCTTCAAAATGTAAGATTCATTCGCTATTTCCCATTACTCATTATTTAATTGTCTTCGCAAACAAAGTCGATAAACACATTAGTGTAACATTTTTCAACACTTCTATTTATATACGATTGCTGGGATCTCTATATACATATGTATTGGTTTATTTGAGATAACACGCATTTTGCTTTTGTCAAATGATAATCAAATCAAAAATGTCACATATCCAAAAAAAGATTAGAAATTAGCTTTCATTTTCTTGAGATTTCGTGAGATTTCTTGAGATTTCATAAAAAGGGGCGCGGAATTAAGAGGCACAGAATAAAAAGTATGAGTGGAGTGTGTAGTGTATAAAGAATGTGTCCCTAAACCTTCAACTTTAATCTATCTATCTTTGTATCTTGGTATGTCTAATAAATGAGGAAACTGACAATAAAGAATTTGAGATGGGATTCCATATTGATACGCTAAGCCAAAGATATTTCAGTTTGCTGATAGCTTTTAAATATGTCCTAAACTTCTGATAATAATAATAATTTGTGTAAATGCGTTGCTTTTTATGATTATGCCCGTATACCCGTTTATTTACTGCATCCCCACCTCACATTCATAATCTGCAATTTTTGATTTAATACCATACTTCCTCTTGCTTATCTTCGGTTTGTTGCTGTACCCAATTAAATCTGTACTTTTCTAATGTACACTCTTTATACAACAATTTGCATATCTGGTAAATATAACTTGTTTTTCTTCTTCCACTGTTTTATTTACTTCTCGAACTATTTTGATTACTTCCCTATCGCCTGTCGTCTTCCGTCAGCTTGCCTAGCATTACACTTAGTCATAAATGTATTCATACTCATAATGACCACAATTTCTCGATGATCTGGTTTGATATTCAAAACGTTGTCCCCCGTAGCTAACTGTAGTCGACTCTGTTGTTGCCCGCCCACATCCAATCAAACTACAAATTATCTACCTGTTAAGTAAAAACAAGTAAAAACGTAAAATGCTAAACAGTTCACGATTATGCACTACGAAATACCCTTGAAGAGAAATTTAACAAAATACAATGTTTAGAATATATATTAATACGAAATAATGGGTATAAAAATAATATTATATATTGCAATATCGAAATTTTAGATAAGCAAATAGACGTCGATAATTGTAATGGGTAAATAGTACAGGGTATTTCTAAAATACTTGACACTGATAAAAATACAAATATCTTATGAAAATTCTTTAATACAAATGCATGTGTGCAGCTTGAGCGACTTATGAGAGTATCTACTTTTTACAGGGTATGTATAGCAAATGCTGTAATCATCATTCATTAAGCATTTGGCAAGTGATTCATTTGTAGCATTGATTTATAGCGCACGTTCCAGTGTTGAGTGTTTTTAATTCTGTTCTAAGCGAGGGGTTTCAGGGATGGAGCAGAGAAAGGGTTACCTGCAACACCTTCCGAAAGGTGGGTTAACCACAGTGTGTGGGTGTGTACAGCCCGTTAGCTGCATGCAAATTGCAAGTGTGCTCGATTCTCAGTGCTGATTCTCTTAATATCTTGCGCCCGTAACCGGTTTCACATTAAAGAGCGAGTTGAGTTCTTGGTTGACCGAGGCCCAACCGCAAGTGAGTCAACGACTCAGCTACGATGTTCACTCGATTATAGACCAAGTACAAAGTATATGCAGAAAAAATGCTGCAACATACTGTGATAAGCAAACAAAACTTAAGCAAACTATGTAAATAGTATAAGCGAAAGCATTTGCTTTGTTAAGCCAAAGTGACAAATCAGGCACAGACAAACAACTAAGACCGAAGACAACAACGGCTGCTATACAATGAGACTACGAGATACCCTGTAACACCGAAAGCACAGTTTGAATTAGTTGGATAATTTTCTTATTAAGTTGCCTTTAACAATTTGTTACGATTTTTTTAATACACAAAAAAGTTCTATGAAATTCCACAAAATAATTCTTAGAAGAAAAAATATCTTACAAGCTCAACCTCTATTTTACTAGACGAGATGAGTCTATGTATATAGCTTGACTATAATTTTTAATATATAAGATCAGATCATATATTTTTATTTAATAACTTTTGGGATAATTCGGTTAGATTGATTTGAATTATATAAGATCCCAAGCCTATATCCAGGAAAAAGTAACAATGTAGTCTTAACTGTTTACGGATATATGCAGCATTCATTATACCCGTTAATTATCAGCTAATGAGTGCAGGGTATGACAAATGACATGAATCAGTCAAGAGAATCAGTGTTTTGTGCCGCGGGCGATTAAAAACGCGCCGATTATTTGTATGGCACACGCGCCAAAACGATTGCTCATACGACAACAACAACAATAACAACAACAAAAACAGCGCAAATTAATGATAAACATTAACATTTGCCATTATCAACTCCAATTGAAGTTGCATTTGTTGAGGTTGCAGTTGCACTCGCGATTTGCTAATTGTTGCAAAATGTGCTGCATAATTTTGCGGTTAATTGCCATGGCAAATCGCGCGCGCACAAAAGGTGCCGCCTGCGAAGCGTTTTTTGCAGCGATTTGCCCGCGTTTATCTTCTTTATTATTATTTTTTTTTATACAGCAAAAAGGTCGTGCTTTTTAATTGAGGATGTGTAATTGGGGAATTGTAACCGAACGTTTACTCATATGATGCGCAATGTGTACTTATGTCTGGCAGTAAGAAAAAAAATGCCGCTTCTAAGTGTCTTGGGAGCGTTTCTCTCTAACTAAAGGTCAGACTTCCTCATTTTGTGCCAACTATGCGCAATGACAAATTCGGCACGTTTAGCTAGCAATCTTTCAGGCATTCAAGTTATTCTTAACATGTTTCAACACATATGAATATAATAGTATATAATAATGCAATTTAGCTTCTGTTTAATTTGTAATAGGTCATTAGCTACTTATACTTATTGAAAAATAAAGAATGATTGTCGTAGGTCCTCATCTAGGAAATACACTGTAGAAAAATCCCCTTAAAAATCTGTTTAATCTGGTAAAATCTGTGTAACTATAAACCTATTTTGCAATTTAAAATAATCTCAATATACCCCATAAATGGCAGGAGGTTATTCTAATAAATCGGAGAACAGAATATTTAAAAACGTTCGCAAACAATATAAATTTTATTAAATTTGTATATCTTTTTGTAATTTTGCATTTTGTTAGCATTTTTAACTACTAGAAAGTTTTATTAGCATATTATAGTAAAAGAAAAGTTCCTTATTGAGTTCCTTATTAATAGAGACTTATGCGGATATAATTCTCAATTAGTTAAAGCCCCAAAATGTCATATGTTCAACTTAAGGTGTCTGCACTGGTTCTTTCCCTTCATATAATTCTCAATTAGTTAAAGTGCTTAATAGGCATATATTCAACTTAAGGTGTCTGCACTGGTCTCTTGAGGATTCTCCCAAGTCCCCTGATAGAATATGCTTGTCACATTCAATACTAATTCGAATATGTTTTCTTTTTCTATTTTGCAGAAACGCTAATCGACATTTCAAACACCACGAAAACGCCACTATTTCCAAAGGACCTATTCACGAAAGAACAGCTTGAGAACGGCGCTGTCATCCTGCACATTATCGGTGTAATATATATGTTTGTGGCGCTGGCAATTGTCTGCGATGAATTCTTCGTGCCTTCCCTTGACGTAATCATTGAAAAGCTCGGCATCACGGACGATGTGGCCGGCGCAACGTTTATGGCGGCGGGTGGCAGTGCCCCGGAGCTCTTCACGAGTGTCATTGGCGTTTTCGTGTCGTTCGATGATGTTGGCATTGGTACGATTGTTGGATCTGCTGTCTTTAACATTCTCTTCGTGATTGGCATGTGTGCGTTATTCTCGCGTACGGTCCTATCGTTGACCTGGTGGCCACTATTTCGTGATTGCTCATTCTATAGCATCAGTTTGCTGGTATTGATCTACTTTTTTCGCGACAATCGCATCTTCTGGTGGGAGGCGCTCATCCTGTTTACCATATACATTGCCTATGTGACCTTCATGAAGTGGAACGTACAGGTGGAGCATTGCGTCAAGAAGATGATTACCAAAAACAAGGTGACTCGCGTCCGAAGTACAGATCAACTTATGCCAGCAGTAAGTAGTTGGGAAGTTTTTTTGCAAACAAAATCCAAAAAAAAAAAAAAAAATTAATACTAAAATGTTAAATCGATAAAAGTCGTTTGAGAGAAAGCGAAATTGCAAATTGTCTGCAAAAATTAACGCAACGAAAATTTAAATCCTTTGCCAGGAATATATTTTCGTTTCTTAATCGCTTGACTTTTGGTTTTTCTCCTCTTTGTTTCTTTGGCCCAGTAATTTTCCATACATTTTAAATGGGACTAAACAGTTGAACAGGTGTGCTAGTTACTATGACTAAGGGCATGCGGAGAGACTGCAATCTTATACATAAGATAACTGCATGACTAACGCCATATGCGTCTTGGCATTGAACGCCAGGTGATGATGATGATGATGCTGATCATGATGAGGAGGCTCATGAGTTGACAATAATTGACTGGCGCTCGAATTTCACCTTTGAGTTTTAACTCAAAGTCAATTGAGTTTTATTTTTTGCCAAACCAGTTCCAGGAACTGAAAGTGACCAAAGTCAGTCAGGGTCAAACAGAGAACTGCAGCTGAAACTTTAAGAAAATTTTAACAAATTCAACGAAATTATTTAAGTTACGTTAGCTCATACTATATGACGCATACAAAAGTGTTATTTGTGTCGCTTTCCAGCACTGGTCAACTATTAAATTTCATGACATGATTAAATAAGTTGGGTTAGCTCATTCTATTTGACGAGAAATGTGAATGCTTGTATAAACGTTTAACAATACTGGGCAATTTAACTATCGAATCGCCTAGAAACTGGTTGACTGTTTAAAGTGACGCTTAACAACACTGGCCAACTGTCAACTGCTTAGTCACAGCACGTTTCTCGTTTTAAAACTCATTTTCAAAACTATATATTTATATATTTATCTACCTCTAATTTAATCTTGAATCTAGCTCTTAACTTTTCTCATTATCTAGCGCTTAGCTTTTGTTTTATTATTCTTTTCTCTCTTTCCAACACTTTCTCATTTGCTATGCCTCTTACGACTTGTTTAACCATACAAACAAATATGACCCATACACACACTCAAGCATACACCCACGCTACACACACAGAAGCTGTCACACTTACACACACGAACAACTTTGCATGCAGCCAATAGCAACTGTGCACAAACACACACACACTCCCAAACACACACACCCGCACAGCTTGAACGTAAATTCGATCTGAACTTGATTCTCGATTCTCGCTTGATTTTCTCACTCGCTCACGCATGTATACAACTTTTTGGGCTCTAACTAGTTGCACCATTTTGTTCATAAATATTAACTTAATTTTATAAGCACACGATTTTTTACGGGGGCAACAAACAGCGCTAAAATGGCGTAATATACTTAGTTTGAAAAAGTTATGTGGTCTCTAACAAAATGGCTAAGGTATATGCTTATGTTATTGAACTCTAAAGCATTTATTTCGACTTATTACAGTCCACAATTCTTTATTAAATACTCCTTAGGTTCTAAAGCAAAGATAAATTGATGGAAAGACAAATTTAATGTGAAGAGAAACTGTTTTTAACTTTACAATTTCATATGTCATTGTTTTCAGATTTATAACATCAAAATTTGAAATTAGAATTTAATTTAGATAATAGACTGGTGTTGTTTTTTCCAAATCGTATCATGTAAATTAACTATATCTCTTGATTTCCAAATCTTATGCAGTTCTTAACTATCAAAACTTTACCAAATTACTTTAGACGTACCATTTAAGTTATGTTTTGATCTCTATCTATATTGCTCATGCATAATTTTTTCCAATTTTTTGCAAATCATCCCTAACATTTCTTTATAAAATTTCCGTAGAGAAAATGTTTCAACTTTTTATTTCCTTCATATAAAGTGGAATGAATGTTAAATAATATTTATAAATATGCGTAACTATTATGCTTTAGGGAATTCTAAAGCACACTTCAATCATAAAATATCTCATTTTGTGGCGATGCCGATCGGACACTTTTCATAGCGAAGCAGGGGGTGTATGCCTTGGGGTTGGTGTAGGCGGCTGTCGTTTGCGGGGTAAGCGACTAGCATAGCGATATTGTAGCAGGCGGTCCATCGACAATATCCAAATTCTTATAATTGGATTTGGCCTCCTCGAGCTGCATCTCACACTCTACTTTCGTCTTGGTCAAACGGTGCCACAGTCCGAGGTCAAAGGATGTCAATTTAATGAAAGTATACGAGACAATGCGATAAAGCACCAAATAGCCCAGAATCAGGTATAGCGCATAATCGGAGTGTTCAAAAAAATAATCGAACGGTGTTTTTTTATCGAGTTTTAAGTCCAGCCAGACGAACAGTAATGGAACAAACAACACCCAATACGCGACTATTGTACACACTTCCACGATTTGTTTTCCAAACATTTTAGCGAAACTTACGCACGAACGGGTTGCCAACTGGACTGCAACTAATCGAACTGTTCCGGAAACTGAAGCTCACATATCGTTTGTATAGCTTTTGTGGTTAAAACTATATATAATACGACAAGAATAGAGTTTGCTCAAATTTAAAGCGATGAGTTGCATGGGGCAAGGTGCTCGGTCAATGAGTAGGTCATTAATCATGCGATTCGTGTATATCTGCCGGATCGAATAACTATATGACAAAGCTTTCAACGGAACTATAATTCGAAAGCAGAGTTTTTGTATGAAAAAGTTGTTTTATCAAATATTTTGCCTTTAAAAAAAATTCTCAAAATTTGAGGGTTTGTATTGGACATTTTTTTATTCGACTTGCTGGTTAAAATAAATCTCTATCCAAAAATATATACTGAACAGTTTTGGAACAGCTTTGCTTTGTCTTGCCTTAATTCCAAACAAAATAATAGTTGTTTTTTTTTTAAATAAATAAAAATCTTTTTTTTCAATAGTTCTTAATTGTTACATTCCTCATAAGACGGAGGGTGTTGCCTTTTCTGTTTTCGATTTTCCTTTCTGGGCTGTTTTTGATGTACTTTCTCGACTGGGCGTGGTACATTGGGTGCCCGGTTCAGCGACTGATGGCCATCCAGCTCGTCATCTTCCATATCCAGGGTGGTGGATGCGTTGTCCTGGTTTGGGTCAAGTCGAGGATCATTATCTGCATAATATTGTCTTTCTTGATTAATCATTTCTATAGTTGCGGGGTCGTATTTGACCCAGATTGTCATGGTCCACGTTCTGATTCGCAGATAAATGAGCACAATAAGTAGATAGGCCACCGGATAACATGCTGCCAGACACAGACCAAGTACACAGAACTGTTTAAACGATGAGAACATATTCTTATCATCCCAAACGACCCATTTCTGTTCAAGGCAAAGCACTATGACTAGGGGCGTTATCACAATCCAGTACAGGACTAGCACAAAGATCTGAACACAGCTTTTCTGTATCATTTTTCACACCGATATTTTACTAGCTTCGCACGTGACTTTGCTTCGGGTTCAGGAATACAACTAAGTCAAGTTGGGTTAGTTTTAATTATGCTCTTTGAGCTTGTTTGCGGTTATACGAGAGTTAGTCAGTCTGATTCTTTAAATAAAATAAGTAGAAAGTGGTCTTTGTTCTTGTTCTTGAAAGCTTCAAAACATTCCTTTCAGAAACATTAAATTACCCAGAAATATGTCAAAAATACTCTACGTATATAATTTTTTCTTTTTATTTTAATAAATATATGTTTTTGTCGTTGTTTTGTAATATCTTAAAATATACATATGAGTTTAATTTAAAAGCGCGCTTGCAGCCGGGATTTAATAGTACGCTTTTTGGTGCCATCCGGAACGTCCAAGTATTTCTCCTCTATGCACTGGGCCTCAAGATCGTTTTTACCATTTTTATACTTTTGGTGCACCTTTTTCAGCGATTTTTGATCGAACTTTTTCAATTTCTTGTACATGAACATGACAATCCGATAGAATGTTACGAAACCCATCACATCGACAAGTCCGAAAATGAGAACTGCCCAAATTGTATCTCGCAAAGCACCAAAATCCAACAGCAGCCAACCCTTTTTTGTAAACTTATTATAGATGAAGGGCGTAAATATTAGCCAATATAAGATCACCACAAATATTTCCAAAAACTTTCTTTGAAACATTCTTGAAACTTGTTTTTCCTTTGAAGGAATACTACTTACTGATTGATTGAAACGATTTCTACTCTGGTACTTGTTACACAAAAGCTTTTATTTATTTGTATATCAAGAAAGCATTAATATTTAAGTTGCGGTTGCATGTGCTGCAATTAAATGGTCTAGGGAAGCTTACGGATATTTTTTTTTGTTTTGTTTAATAACATCTATAAAATACTTACTGCAAAAAAATATACCGAACATTAAATATATGATATGGTATGCTTAATTTATCAGCTTCAAAGTGCAATCCCCTCTGCACAGATATTACATTTCATTGTGTAATCCCCCATATAAAGACAATGAATTATTTATTTAACGAGCTTGCAATTTTTGCTATGCAGCTAGAACATTCTTTTATTATAGCATATTTCATATAATAATATAATACATACACATATATATTTTAAATAGATAAACAGATAATAATATCTGGACTTAGAACTAGGTAATAAATATATGCAACTAATTTTCGAAAAGTACTCGCAAAAGTACTCGTATTCGCTAGCTAACATTAAAATGCTATAAACAAAAAATAATAATAACTCACTATATGATCTATTCCTTGTTACAAGAAGAGCTACCATGTAAGTTAGATTCGGAAAAAATTGGCTAAAATTGTGTCTCGACAAATATTGCGAATAAAATTAGGTTTATCTTTGGTTCTTTGGCTAAGGCTAATACTTGGATGGGAATTCTATCTTTCTCTGTAAAGTACACCGAAGTGAAACCTATGTCTTGACTATGGTTGGTCTCAGCTGCTGTGAGGTGCCCATTAGGACATCAGGTGACATGATGATGCCATGGCTCAGCTTGCGGGCCATTCCCGGTGTGCGGGGCGGCGTGTTGGGCACAGGCGGTGCACACCGCAAACTGGGCGTGGGACTAGAGATGTGCGTCTGCTGAGGCTGTCTGGGCAATGTGGCGCTGCGCAGCGGACGCGTCTCGTGTTTGATATGAATACGCGCCAAATCGCTCTCCACCAGCAGTGGGTGGCTTATGGTGCGTATGACTTTCGGCATGGTAGTTGCTGGCCCGTCATCAACCGTGTCCAGATTCTCTGTAGATACAAACACACACTCTCCCACACACACACGCTCGCACAGGTTGAACGTGAATTCGATCTGAACTTGATTCTCGATTCTCGCTTGATTTTCTCACTCGCTCACGCATGTATACAACTTTTTGGGCTCTAACTAGTTGCACCATTTTGTTCATAAATATTAACTTAATTTTATAAGCACGCGATTTTTTACGGGGGCAACAAACAGCGCTAAAATGGCGTAATATACTTAGTTTGAAAAAGTTATGTGGTCTCTAACAAAATGGCTAAGGTATATGCTTATGTTGTTGAACTCTAAAGCATTTATTTCGACTTATTACAGTCCACAATTCTTTATTAAATACTCCTTAGGTTCTAAAGCAAAGATAAATTGATGGAAAGACAAATTTAATAGCTACTTTGTGAAGAGAAACTGTTTTTAACTTTACAATTTCATATGTCATTGTTTTCAGATTTATAACATCAAAATTTGAAATTAGAATTTAATTTAGATAATAGACTGGTGTTGTTTTTTCCAAATCGTATCATGTAAATTAACTATATCTCTTGATTTCCAAATCTTATGCAGTTCTTAACTATCAAAACTTTACCAAATTACTTTAGACGTACCATTTAAGTTATGTTTTGATCTCTATCTATATTGCTCATGCATAATTTTTTCCAATTTTTTGCAAATCATCCCTAACATTTCTTTATAAAATTTCCGTAGAGAAAATGTTTCAACTTTTTATTTCCTTCATATAAAGTGGAATGAATGTTAAATAATATTTATAAATATGCGTAACTATTATGCTTTAGGGAATTCTAAAGCACACTTCAATCATAAAATATCTCATTTTGTGGCGATGCCGATCGGACACTTTTCATAGCGAAGCAGGGGGTGTATGCCTTGGGGTTGGTGTAGGCGGCTGTCGTTTGCGGGGTAAGCGACTAGCATAGCGATATTGTAGCAGGCGGTCCATCGACAATATCCAAATTCTTATAATTGGATTTGGCCTCCTCGAGCTGCATCTCACACTCTACTTTCGTCTTGGTCAAACGGTGCCACAGTCCGAGGTCAAAGGATGTCAATTTAATGAAAGTATACGAGACAATGCGATAAAGCACCAAATAGCCCAGAATCAGGTATAGCGCATAATCGGAGTGTTCAAAAAAATAATCGAACGGTGTTTTTTTATCGAGTTTTAAGTCCAGCCAGACGAACAGTAATGGAACAAACAACACCCAATACGCGACTATTGTACACACTTCCACGATTTGTTTTCCAAATTTAAAGCGATGAGTTGCATGGGGCAAGGTGCTCGGTCAATGAGTAGGTCATTAATCATGCGATTCGTGTATATCTGCCGGATCGAATAACTATATGACAAAGCTTTCAACGGAACTATAATTCGAAAGCAGAGTTTTTGTATGAAAAAGTTGTTTTATCAAATATTTTGCCTTTAAAAAAAATTCTCAAAATTTGAGGGTTTGTATTGGACATTTTTTTATTCGACTTGCTGGTTAAAATAAATCTCTATCAAAAAATATATACTGAACAGTTTTGGAACAGCTTTGCTTTGTCTTGCCTTAATTCCAAACAAAATAATAGTTGTTTTTTTTTTAAATAAATAAAAATCTTTTTTTTCAATAGTTCTTAATTGTTACATTCCTCATAAGACGGAGGGTGTTGCCTTTTCTGTTTTCGATTTTCCTTTCTGGGCTGTTTTTGATGTACTTTCTCGACTGGGCGTGGTACATTGGGTGCCCGGTTCAGCGACTGATGGCCATCCAGCTCGTCATCTTCCATATCCAGGGTGGTGGATGCGTTGTCCTGGTTTGGGTCAAGTCGAGGATCATTATCTGCATAATATTGTCTTTCTTGATTAATCATTTCTATAGTTGCGGGGTCGTATTTGACCCAGATTGTCATGGTCCACGTTCTGATTCGCAGATAAATGAGCACAATAAGTAGATAGGCCACCGGATAACATGCTGCCAGACACAGACCAAGTACACAGAACTGTTTAAACGATGAGAACATATTCTTATCATCCCAAACGACCCATTTCTGTTCAAGGCAAAGCACTATGACTAGGGGCGTTATCACAATCCAGTACAGGACTAGCACAAAGATCTGAACACAGCTTTTCTGTATCATTTTTCACACCGATATTTTACTAGCTTCGCACGTGACTTTGCTTCGGGTTCAGGAATACAACTAAGTCAAGTTGGGTTAGTTTTAATTATGTTCTTTGAGCTTGTTTGCGGTTATACGAGAGTTAGTCAGTCTGATTCTTTAAATAAAATAAGTAGAAAGTGGTCTTTGTTCTTATTCTTGAAAGCTTCAAAACATTCCTTTCAGAAACATTAAATTACCCAGAAATATGTCAAAAATACTCTACGTATATAATTTTTTCTTTTTATTTTAATAAATATATGTTTTTGTCGTTGTTTTGTAATATCTTAAAATATACATATGAGTTTAATTTAAAAGCGCGCTTGCAGCCGGGATTTAATAGTACGCTTTTTGGTGCCATCCGGAACGTCCAAGTATTTCTCCTCTATGCACTGGGCCTCAAGATCGTTTTTACCATTTTTATACTTTTGGTGCACCTTTTTCAGCGATTTTTTATCGAACTTTTTCAATTTCTTGTACATGAACATGACAATCCGATAGAATGTTACGAAACCCATCACATCGACAAGTCCGAAAATGAGAACTGCCCAAATTGTATCTTGCAAAGCACCAAAATCCAACAGCAGCCAACCCTTTTTTGTAAACGTAGTATAGATGGAGGGCGTAAATATTAGCCAATATAAGATCACCACAAATATTTCCAAAAACTTTCTTTGAAACATTCTTGAAACTTGTTTTTCCTTTGAAGGAATACTATTTACTGATTGATTGAAACGATTTCTACTCTGGTACTTGTTACACAAAAGCTTTTATTTATTTGTATATCAAGAAAGCATTAATATTTAAGTTGCGGTTGCATGTGCTGCAATTAAATGGTCTAGGGAAGCTTACAGATATTTATTTTTAATCTTATTTGTTTAATATTGGTTTTTGTTGGGAATACTTATTAGATTATAACGAATGCCGGGAGACACACTACATTAAAATACGCAGCTTTCAGCTGATAACTAAGCTGACAATATATCTTGATAAAATTCGTCATTTACAATCTTTACGTCCCATATTTAATATATATGCCATATCTTATCAACTATTTATCAAATTTATCACAAAGCTCTCATAGGAACAATCATTTCAAAATTGAATTTATTATTGTGAGGTTAGGAAATGTACCGAATTTTTTGTTTTGTTTAATAACATCTATACTTACTGCAACAAAAATATACCGAACATTAAATATATGATATGGTAGCATACCTTAATTTATCAGCTTCAAAGTGCAATCCCCTCTGCACAGATATTACATTTCATTGTGTAATCCCCCATATAAAGACAATGAATTATTTATTTAACGAGCTTGCAATTTTTGCTATGCAGCTAGAACATTCTTTTATTATAGCATATTTCATATAATAATATAATACATACACATATTTTAAATAGATAAACAGATATTAATATCTGGACTTAGAACTAGGTAATAAATATATGCAACTAATTTTCGAAAAGTACTCGCAAAAGTACTCGTATTCGCTAGCTAACATTAAAATGCTATAAACAAAAAATAATAATAACTCACTATATGATCTATTCCTTGTTACAAGAAGAGCTACCATGTAAGTTAGATTCGGAAAAAATTGGCTAAAATTGTGTCTCGACAAATATTGCGAATAAAATTAGGTTTATCTTTGGTTCTTTGGCTAAGGCTAATACTTGGATGGGAATTCTATCTTTCTCTGTAAAGTACACCGAAGTGAAACCTATGTCTTGACTATGGTTGGTCTCAGCTGCTGTGAGGTGCCCATTAGGACATCAGGTGACATGATGATGCCATGGCTCAGCTTGCGGGCCATTCCCGGTGTGCGGGGCGGCGTGTTGGGCACAGGCGGTGCACACCGCAAACTGGGCGTGGGACTAGAGATGTGCGTCTGCTGAGGCTGTCTGGGCAATGTGGCGCTGCGCAGCGGACGCGTCTCGTGTTTGATATGAATACGCGCCAAATCGCTCTCCACCAGCAGTGGGTGGCTTATGGTGCGTATGACTTTCGGCATGGTAGTTGCTGGCCCGCCATCAACCGTGTCCAGATTCTCTGTAGATACGGCCTGATAATGAGATTTATCCTTTAGCTGCGATTCGGGATCCTCTTGCGTTTTCTTCAGCTTATGCCACATTTTAACATCGCACACTTTCAGCTTCATGTAGATAAAGATAACAATGCGATAAAAGGTCACATAGCCAGCGAGCAGGCAAAGCGCGAATGTGGCATGATCCGAGAAAGATTGAAATGGTACATTTAGATCCCAACGTATCCAATTCTGGGTCTTGCAATATTGATATATGGCTGGCGTGATAACCATCCAGTAAAAGAGCAGCGTGAACAATTCGATAATCCTTTTTTGAAACATTTTTGTATTTGTCTTTCGTAGTCAAAGTAGCACGCGCCGCACGCTCCACACACACTCGCGTTCCGTTTAAATTTAATATTCGTTGCGTTTAGGTTCAAGATTCGTTACTAAATGATGTGCACAGAGCGCATAACCCAGCTATATAATACAAATCAACGATCAATGCAGCCAAGCTCAAAGCCCGAGCTCAGACGGCGACAGAGAATGACAGACTCTGAGTCAAAGCGAAAACCGAAGCGTTGCGAATCGCGCGAGTTATCTTTAGTCGATGTTAGACGAGTTGGTAGAGGCTGCTCTCTGGTTTTTATTTTTTATCGATATCAGCTGGCTATATGCATTAGCTAGTCGTATCACTATATCGACTTGAACGTAAGCAAAATCCCTGGAATATCTGCATTAATTCTTGGAACTGGTTTCGGGGTCTGCCCCACAGAGACAGGTGACAAGTGAATACATGTATATATTATATCTTTATATATATATACATATATGTCTTGAACCAAAACTGGTTGAGTGACAAATTGAGTCGTGTTGTGAGTTTTTCTCTTTTTGATTAACAGTTCGAGCAGGTTCATTGTATATTTTGCAATTTACATTTCTTAGATCATTGGGTCGACTTTGGTTTTTTTTTTTGTCGTTTGGCAGGGCGAAATTTTCGAACTTGAGTTGAGTTTTTGAAATTGTGCGCAAATGATTCACGCGAGCTTAAATTAAGCACCTGTAGTAACTGACGTTACGCTGATGAATTTTGTGTTGAAGTAAATGCTTTTGGCATGATTCCACAGCTCTTGGACTCGAAGAGAGATTTCATTTGGCTTTATATTAATTATATTTCATTTTGCTGTCAAAGTCTATCAAAACAAGCTGACATCTTGTTGGAACAGCTTTAAATGCAGTTCGAGACAATTACTAATTCTTTCTACCAACTTTTTCCCTCTCTTTCTACTTGTATGACTTGACTCGTTCATCTCATAGATCCTCATCAATTTTACGTCATTGCTGAGTGGTTTTTATCGTAACTCGTATGAGTCTTAGGCGAGCTGTCGTCGAAGCGTTCGATCGGGCAAAACAACATGACTTGCCATTAATTAGCATTATAATCAGCCATGAGGTAGTTCACCTGGGCACGAGCCACACGTTAATTGGTCAGAGGCTAGTTAGTTGGAGGCTAGTTTTCTTGATCTTGAATTGCCCTACACGCGCCCCAGTTCTTAAAAGTGGCATACGTTCGGCATAGTATTATCTATGTAATAATATTTATGTATTTTACAAGAATTCGCTAAACTGCATTTGCTCCAATTCTGCGTTCATTTGTATGAATAGAAGGCGTTGTGGCTGGACAAGTTCTATAGCCAAACAAATAGTCTTATTATATTATGTTAAATATATATGTATTCTTTTTCCTACAGTTCATAGCTCTTCGATTTTTTAATTGGAGCATAATCTGAATAGGCGTGATGTATAGACAAAGTTCATGCAGTTCATAGCCCGCACATTTTTTAAATGGAATGTAATCTGAATAAACGTGTTGCTTAAACAAATGCTTACGATAGCAAGTCTTTTGATAACCCAACTATAACTAATCTTATATCTTGATATAGAAGTAAACCGAGTATTTTCTAACCATGCATTGCTCGCGACATTAAATATGTATTTTACAAGAAATTTTCTAATCTGGACTTGCCCACATTTTTAGATTTGACTTTTAATGAATGAAATACTATCTGGAAATACCTGTTCTTTAACAAACAGATAATGTTATATATAATATATATTCTTTAACCTAACTTGCCCTATACCCGCAGCAATTCTTAAATACCGATTTTTATGAATGAAATGCGATCGGGAGAAACCAGTTCTGTAAATACTCTTTTAATATGTATATACTAAGTGTATATGTGTACTTTATTCAAGCTGGATTTACTACACACGTGCTCCACTTTATGGCTCTGACTGATTTTATGAATGGAATACGATCTGGATAGACGTGTTCTATTAACATATGCACAACAGTTTACATAACAGTCACACACACAGATATATATATAGTTCCTATAATAAATGTATTAACAAAGAATTTCTTATCTATATACGTACTTGACATGTATCTACTATATCTTAACTAATTATCACCTGATAGTTATATATATATATATATATTTATATATATATATTAGTCATTACTTAGCGCCATTCAACATTTTCATATATTTAGCTAGCGATAATTTTGATTTTTTCCCTCCTCGCACTTCTAGAGCTTTCTTTGGCCAGTCATAAGTCTGAGCTTTAAGTTTTATTTCTGCATTATATTTAAAGATTTCTAATGTTTTTTAAGTTTTCTGTGTTTACTTTTTTGATTATAGTGAAGGCAAAATGAAATACAACAAAACTTCCCACTGCGCTTTGATAATACAAAAAAAAAAGTATATATGTACATTTTTTTCCTAATGAAACAAAAAAATACAAAAAAAAGTCATTGAAAACTGAAGCTTGTATGTATACTTAAAAACAGTTGCAAAAAAAAAAAAAACAATGAAATTTGTATATTTTAGTTTAACTAAAAACCTTAATTTTAGTTCCTGTATGTGCAATAATATTTGTGTTTAATGATTTGGTTTCCTTTTTTTTGTGTTTCCGAAAACCACTAAAAATCTAAATTCAGAGGAAATGGAATGTATTTCTAGCGCAAACCCGCATCATCAACTGTGGTGCTTTGTTATTGGGCCTGCTGATTTCACCCAATGAATCCAGTTGTATGCACCTTACTATCTGAAAATCAATCCTGTTGTATATATAAAACGCTCCTTAAAGGTTTTTGCTGCACTATTGAAATGCATACATTTTTGCTGCACTAGAACAAAACTATGTTTCATGCTCTTCAACAAACAGAGTTGCAATTTTGCATTAGAAAACGTCTTACCATGAATATGGAATTATGGCATTATTATTATAACAAAACTTGGTATATGGCTTATATAGGAGCTGCCGAGCTTAGTAAACAACAGTTGTGGTCCGTATGTCTGGAAAATAAATTCGTATCTGTCTGTATTACGTGTCGTGGTTTCCACATATGAAACTCATTTTATAGCATAATTTTCTTAAGTTAACTTTTTCGGTTTTTTTATATAAATATTGGCTACAATTAATTGCACTTAACAATTCGATTAGCTTTTAAGCGATACAACAGCTGAAAACAACAACAAAATACATACAACAAAACAGCAACTATTACAACTACAACAACAAAAAAAAAAAAAAAAAAAAAAAAAAAAAAAAAAAAACTACAACAACAACATCAACGCTCAACACTCAACTGTAAATTTATACAAATTGCAATAATAAACTTTTCTTCTTCTTCTTTTCACCTTTTTCTCAACAACAACAATGCTTACCATCAAAAAAAAATTAATTAAAAAAAACCTACCCTCCCAAAAAAACAAAACAAACCATTTACACTGCTCTTAACAAAAAAAAATGAAATGAAAATAAAATTGAAATACCTCTGAACTCTCAACATAACCGTAACCGTAACCGTACCACCCGTCCATCGTTCTTCCTTCACTTCAGGGTAATGCGGCAAACTCATCGGAAACGTCAATGGCCACACAGCCGGGCGGTTCGGTGACATCCCGAGCGGCCAGCGAGACCCGTTCGGGTCCGGCCGGTTCGAGCAATGCGGGCGCTACAGGTAATAGCAGTGGTGGGACCGCTGGTAGTACACAGACCGGTGCAAAATTCCGTCATGGCCTATTACAGCTAATGATACACACGATAGATCCACTACACGATGGTAAGTTCGTTGAGTTTGTCACATTGTGTTTTGCACAAGTCAAAAAAAAAAAAAAATAAAATAAAAATAAAAATGGAAAATTTTAATGTGTGCCTAAACCCAAACCCCAGTCCGTTCCCCAAGCCCCATAATCAAAGTGTTCCCCGCCCCAAAGTACAAATACCCCATACCAAACGCTTACATCCTAAAACAAAAGCAAATACATTATACCAACTACTTATACTATACTATACCTAACTCTTAAAAATGAAAAGAAAAAATTGTTTGCTTCGGCTGGCCGAAGATTAAATACTCTTGCAGGCATGTGGTAGATATGCCAACTATTTCGTCAAGTTTAGTATGTGACATATATAGTTCTTCTGTTCTGGCATGTATCATGGAAAACAAAAAAATTTTTCTAACTAAATGATACAGTATTACTGACTCCGAATTATGTACTGCCTGGATCTATGCAAAGTTTTATATAACTAAGATAATATATAATAACACCCGTTTACATGGAAAATTATATAAAATCAATCTTTTTCTAAATCAGGTATATATAGGGGTGTCTCTTTCCCCTCTGCAAGAGTATAAAGCTTAAAATAAAAAAAAATAAAATATACTTTGTGTTCAGTTCTTAAAAGTCTGTGTATATTCTGTGTTCCTTCTAATTGGATGTTTGACTTGCTAGCAAGAAGTTACTTACACTTTACTCTTTACTCTCTCTGTCTTTCTCTCTTAAATACTTGCTGATTTTCATTTTGTTTCGTTTGTTGTACGTTGCTTTGTTTGTTTGTTTGTTTGTCTGTCTATCAGTTTCTTTGTTGACTTGACCTTTGGGCTGGTTAGTTTTTAATGCCTGACCTTGAGGCCACTTATCTAATTACCAGGGGCTAGCAGCACGGCCAGACTGAACGTCGTCTTGCGCTCGACAATTGACAGCTTTGCGCTATACTCTACTCTTTATTCTACACTCCTTACACCCAATACCATTGCCATTACCAATCCCTAGCCCAGTGCTCCAGTTCAGGTCTACCCCTTAATGCCGAGCTTTTCCCTGGCATTTGGGGGGCACGTATTCGCTACTCGCTTCGACTCTGGCACCGGCACCGGCACCGGACGTGCTCGCATTGATTTATTATGTATTAAGCACAGAGCCGACTGGATTGGATTGGGGTATGAGCATTGGTACGGGTATGGGCTGGGGTATAAATATGTATGGGGCCATGTTGCCACGGCAATGGCCCACAGACCAAGACCAAGACAAACTCAAACTTAAACTTAAGCTGAAGCCAAAGCTTAAACAAAACCAAACCAGCCAGGGCCGGGCCGACATTGGGGCGTGTACCAAGGTTTACAGGTACAAAGTGCTCGAATTATTTTTGTTATTTTTTTTATTCTTGCACAGATAGCGACAAAATTAATTGACAGTGAGATTTTGATCTTGTGGGAAAATTTTAAAATAGAAATCAATTCGAAACAAACAATTCAAGCTTACATTTCTAAGGATCACTAAATCTTTTATCTAATTTTCTTAAACCAGGGCATTCTTTGTAGTTATCGCTACTTATCTATATCTGTGGGTTTATCTTGTCTCTAGTATTTCCCAAAATTGCTTAGTTTTTATGCCAGATCTTTTCATTTGTGCTGCCTCATTAAAATGTAATTTGCTTTTCTATTTTTATTATTTCGAGCTTAGTCATTTCTTTATATAATTTTGCTTTGAAAAAAAATAACAAAACAAAAACAAAAACAAAAAAAAATGAAACCAAGTTACGAAAATATTTTATGTTGTTCAATGTCAGTTTGGAGTTACATTTATATACTATATACATATGCGTTATATATTAAACTATATTTATGAAATACTTAATAACTTGTATTCGATAGACATTCCTAGAATGTTGTGCGCAGCTTAGTGGCATTAACGAATGTAAGAATACACTCGTTTATATTTATGAGTGAATAGTTATTCGTATCTGTATATGTATCTATAAGATTGTTTTGGTTGCCAACGTTCGTTTGAAGAGTTATGTTTGGTTTTATTTGTGCTTCTGTTTTTTGCGACTGTCAAGTTTGACGCGTGACAATAACAAAATAATTTATATTGTACATATAACATTTATATCTATATATCTTACATATTTATAAACAATGTGTGCATTTAATGTTGTATGTGTTAATTGTAATTACTTAGCAACTAGTACAATTGGCTTTACAAAAATGCTGTTCGAAATTGGCCCGGGCCTAGTACGAGCTACAATCTATCAGATATTCAATTGTACTTAATAGCTACAAGTTATTAGCTAGGTGCCTGCATGTATCAAGTTGACTAGTCGAGCGGGTTGTGTTTTTAATTTTTTCTTTAGGTCTAAACGTTTATATTTACCTATCATTGGAATGTTCATTGTGCTGACAATGTTTACATATGTTTTCAAATGTGCTTTGTACGGTTATGTGGCTATATAAAAATACATATGACGGTTATACTGAGGGAGATGCGTTGAAACAATGAAATTATAGTAAACTTTATCCATATTTAATAGATTTTTATAGTAACAGTCCCATTTAGTCAGCCCTATCGTCATTTGGGAAAGTCCCTCAATAAAAATTGATCAATACTAAAACCAGTTGCGTGCATTTAATTACTAGAGTTCTCTTTTTGCTAATTTACCAATACTAACTACTTCAATTAAGACTTGTTTTTCAAAAATTATTCAACAGTTTTCTAAAATATTCAAAAAAAAATATATATAAAAAAAACTATTGCTTGATGAACATAATAATTATTCAAACAAGTCTCTTAAAAGAAATATTTTTGTATCCATAAAATACTTATTGGAAACACATTAAAAATACTTTTTATCCGTATGATACTTATTTATAATTGGCAAATATTATAAGCTTGTCAAATATTACCGCATTTCCAATGATAAATCTGAATACTGTCGCACGTTTTACAACACTGGAAAAGTCGTTATTTAAACCGCAGTATTCTAACAAAAGTTTTTTTCTAAATTCAAATTGTAAAACGATGTTTTTATGTTTTGCAATTAATAAATCTAATTCCTGCCTGACTGCGTCTGACAGCACTAGAGGATTCATAGTGTTATTTATGATAATAATAATATCAAGGTGCGCATAAAAAAATAAAATATGAATATGTTTCATCGCTCCCCAATGTATAATTCCCACCACCTTTACGTAATGTTTTGTGCTTTATTCATCTGAAAAGCATGTGGTTAATGTTTCTCGTATAAACACCGGCATAAATAATACTCGTGTGTAAGAAGTTGCATAACAAGCAAAACTATATATATTAGATCTAGCTAAGTCATATTTATAATAGAATATATTTAATTGTAAGTTAGGCTTAAATCTAAGTCTTTCTCTATTCTTTCGATATGAACACATATGTATATGTATATACAAAATGCTAGTGCCATATGCGATAATATGGGGTCCACAAAAAGCAGCTCTTTAGCAGCAGCAGTCGGTTAACAAGCCCCAGTATGTATCACTTCATGCCACATTGACAACAAAAACAAAAAAAAACTACAAAAGAAAAATAATAAATAATATAAACCCGTCCGTATTCCCAAGCCAAAATTAATTCGCATTCAATCCAAAACCTCAAAATTTTCAAAAACAAAAAAATCAACATTTAATAACAAACTATTCAAAACAGTTCCCAATTCCTAGTGCAAAACACAAGATCGCTGTCACACTCAAAAAAAAAAAAAAAAAAAGTAAAAACATTTAAAAAAGTTTAAAAAAAATGAAAACAATTTTAAAAAGTTAGACCAAAAATCCATGAGACTCTGACACGGTAAATATCAGTAGTGTATTCGTTTAGTAATTATATCTAGCATAATTAGTCTTAGCTGTAGTTTCGTATGTCCCCAGCCCGATAAAACACGCCCACCCCTCCCCCTCTCTAACAACCACTCTCAATACACTCATGTGCGCAACTCCGCCCTCAACTATGCTTCGATTTCAATGCTGTTTTATGTGTGTCTGTGCCTACACTGTCCTACTAGCTTTCTAAACTCTACGCTCTCTAGTCTATACCTCGACTTTAGTTTAGTTTCTAACCTACTAGCTATTACTTTACTACTACTATTACATACTATGATAATCAACCTCCAAAATGCTATTTCGCAACTGACATCAACATTTTGTATAAAATATTTTCAATATACTCTAACCCAAAAAAAAGGGCATTTAGTTGCTTGTAAATTAACTCAAAACCAATGAAAAATATTTATAAAAAAAGATATGAAAAATATATTTAACTGGGTTAATTCGTTTTATTCTAATTTTTAATCGATGCAATTTTATTCTTTCTTTCTTCTTCTTTTATTCGTTTAATTTTTGAAAAAAAATAATAATAATAAACACTTGGATTTTGCGTTCAAAACTCAATTTGTTGTGTGCAAACAAAACAAAATACTACAAAAACACCGCCTACTACTCTACTCTACTCTTCTACTGCTACCACAACAACAACACACAAACATACTCTACACTCTACTCTGTGTATGCATTTTTTTTATCGAAACACCTCCCTCAAAAAAAACCCAACACACAATTACAATGACAAAGATGATGTTCCAGGCAAAGTGGACGAGAAGGCAACCCAGCTGCATGCCATTGCCTCGCTTAAAGTACTGCTGGATGCCACCAAGCCGCAACGCGGTGGCGCCACCACCTCAGCGGCCAATCATGTCAAGATTAATCTCAAGGAGACAACATTGGCCGATCGACCCAATGGAAATATCGATACCACGCTCGATTCGGTAAGTTATAACGTTGTGATATTATTGCTGTATACTACATCTATATATACATGATTATTGAATTTGATAATACAAATGTGCTAATGAAATAATGCTCATGATTTTTAGGCATGATTTATATTAATTTCTTATTAATGGATTTCTTTATCATATTTATTTTTGATATTGTTTCAATTTGTTAGAAAATAATTGAACTATGTCACACATAATGCGCTGCATTCGTCATACAAAATATCGCAGATGAATATCTTAAATTTAGATCATCGTTTGAATATCGTAAAAGTTGAATATCGTAAGGTCGAATATCGTATCTTGAAAAAAAACGGCAGCTGTAAAATGTTGTATGTGGAACATACTCAAACGCGTATTTAATTCCAATATTAACAATGTTAGGTGAAGCTATTCCACAGAATTGCGTATCTACTGTAATATGTTAAGTGTTTTTTATTGACGTAATTACATATTTTATTTAAAAATCTTCTGATCGTTTATTTTCTAACCCAGAGTTTAGAGTATCAGGTTCAAGCGCGTTACAACATTTTTTTAGATCATTTACAACAAATTTCCTTAACTGTTGGCACGTTTTCTCTACATTGCTAATTGATTGGTAAAATGATTGATGCGTTTGGACTGAACCTAAACTACTCGTAAAACCCAAAATTTAAACACGTATGTTTTTTAATGTAAGCCCAGGCATTCGTTTTATGTGTATTTCTTATGTGTTTTCCTCATTTTCTTTGCTCTCCTTGAAGCTCAACTCTTAAGTGTGTAGACAGCCCCTCAAAAAATAAACAAAATCAACATATGCGGTCTCTGTGTATTTATGCAACGTTTCTGTGTGACTTATAAATTTAAATCTTTCTGTTTTACTTTCAACTTAATTATATCAATTTTCCATACAACTTTCCCACCTACAACACATCTCAGCCCGTCAACTATTCACCAACCTTTTGTTGTGTATGTTTACCTTTAACCTTAACTATAATACTCTATCGCCCATGTCCACCATTCCATTCATCTCTCTCTCTCTATCTCTATCTGTCCATCTCTCTCTCTCTCTATCTCTGTGTGTGCGTGTGTTCTGTGTCTTGCCTAACCCTCAACCAAACACTCTATAAAACTAATAAAGAGCTAATACGGAATTGTCAAATTTTAACCAATTTTACGATTATCGTTTCTGCAGACACCATTTGGAACGAATCATTTGCTTTGTATCTTGAATTTTGAAACGTACTGCCTAGTGTTAAACGAATGATGACAACTCGCATTTAATAATAGCCAAAAACTAAATTAGACAAAAACCAAACACCATGTTTAATATTCACAATATTATGTCATATTTTTGTTATATCGAACATGAATTTTCACTCATATTTTCATACATATGTTGTGCTGCTGTCTCTGCTGTTCGATGAAGTCATTCCAATAATCAGCTATTCAGGCATTCCCAGGCACTCATTGCAATTTTTAGCTGCCACGCGCTGTGCCAGAAACTTGCTACGCTATGCAATTGCCAATTCACACACCCATCGTAACCACACCCACAACACAATCATCTAACTGTGTGTGTGTGTGCTTGTAAGAAATATCGTTGATTTTTATTGTTGACATTTTGTTATTAAAGATGAATTTTAATGCATAGGCGCTAACACTGGGCCAAGCAGCTGCTCATATTAATATATAATTATTTTTTAATTTATTTTTGATTTGTGCATTAAGATGACAAAGCAAACAAACAAAATTCAAAGACAATTCAAAAACAATTCAATCGCCATACAATAAATGTTTCATTTGAATGCGACTCTCAATTGACATTGAAGCGTGGACCCACTTCCGAGTTGGGCCTGAGTCACAAGATTAAAAACTAAATTTTGAAAATAAAAAAACCAAATTTCAAGAAAATAATAATAAATGAATTCCACTTATGCTCTCCACAGTCCCACACTCAAAAAAATTGTAATTGTGTTCGATCCCGTTCAATATGTGTTTGTTATGTAATAACCCAGAACAAGAAAACTCCCTCAACACAACTTTCCATTACTGTCTCTCTCTCTCTCTATCTAACTACTCTATCTCCCAGTCTGTCTATCTGTCTCTAAACAGTGTTTGGTTTATTAATCAAGTATTATTTCCATAGCTGAAACTAAAAACTTAAGCAAAAAGAAAAAAATTCACTAATATTCTCAACAAAAATATTTAATTTTCTTTAAAAAAATATTTAAATTTAAAAATAAAGAATTATTAAAATGAATTCTAAACTTAAATTCAATTCTATATCAAAAGCCATCGTTAAGTGGTCGACGTCCTAGCTGGATTGAGCAGAGGGTCAAAATTCAGACACGCAAATTTAGCATCAAAGTTAGTTTCATAAACAATTTATTTATTGCTCTCTCTCTCTCTCTCTCTCTATCTCTCTATCTCTGTCTTCTCTATATATTGCATACAAATTTTTATTATTATAATTTTTTATTACAAATATCGTAAGAATTATAAATATATATCTTTGCATTGTGTAGTAAGCGACGTCAGCGATAAACTGAGACAAGTCTGACGTTGTTTTAAAGCGCAAGCGTATTGATTTGAACTCTCCTGCGCAGTGGAATGCGAGGGCAATAGCAAGTGGCAAATGGCAGTGGATCAAATAGGTTCTCGCACCCAACTGTCTAGAAGATGAGGCAATCGGCATTATCAATTTGCATATAATCGATTTGAATATTTTAATTGCTTATGTCCGTGACTATAATTTGATGGAAGACAGGTATATCGTAAATATAGGTGGGGCCTCAAATAATGCGTTAAACCTAAATATTGTTGAGTAAATATTGAAAAAATTGTTGGGTAATTACTGTCCGCACGAATAACACGATATCGAATATCGTAAATTTAATGTATCGAGTGTTGTTAATGCAATATGTGGAAGTGCTGCAAGAAATAACTAGCAAAGTTCGTATATCGTAAATCGAATTTACGTATTAGCGCAACGATGAATGCTTAAGGGAGCTTAAAGCTCTGCTAAAAAATCAGGTGTAACTTAATATATAGAGTATATCGGAATTTCATAATATATTCTACTCGTAGGCTACGATATAAAAAAAAACACGTATTGCAGCTGGTACGCGAAGTGCCACTCATATGGCACACGTCTTAGAGTCTACTCATAGAACAGACCATGATTAACCCCACTCTTCGATTTAATACTAATTATGACTCATTTGGGTAAACTGAACAATACGTAATTTAATATTCGATACATTTCGAATGACGTCAGGGCGTAACTTGTCATCAACCACAGTGCAACCATTGCCCAGGAGCGTAAAACAATTACCACAGACGCCACTAGCTTAGAATATATATCAACGAATTTTATACTTTTCTACTTTGCTTTATTGCAAGTGCTGAGAGTATTTTCACTCACATTGCTTTAGTGCTGCTTACAAAAAAACGTAGCTATACACACTTTTTAACCATAGCTAATTAGTAATTTTTCGAATCATCATATGTATAACTATATTTAACATATTTTACTTTCTATTTTCGTTACACTTTGATCGACTTTAGTTCGGGCTGTGCCCATGCGCATCCATTGAGAGTGTGTGTGTGTGCGTGTGTGTGTAGCCTGTCTATGTATGTATGCTTGCACTAGCCAAACCAAAAAAATAAAAAATAAAAATATTAGAGGCATGCCTAATAAGAACTAAGATGCTGAAATCTGTGCACGTAACAATACTCGTATAGCACCTACTAAAAATTGTACTCGTTAACTAGAAAGTAAGTGCATTACTGTTTGTGTTTGTACTTAAACAAATTAAAATACACTTTATTTAGACTCTGGCCACACTTAAATTGTAACAATTTTTATACGCACCATTTTACCTAATGACGTACTTACCTAGAGTCCTTATGGCTATGCAAAGCTCTAAACGCCTGTCTGTGAGTGCGTCTCCACAACTCGAAATCTGTTGTCAAAATCAAGCTCAAAACTCTTGATCTGATAAAAACAAAACATACCTCGTATTATCAACAGTTTCATATGTATACGCATAGCCAAATAACATATATCATACAATATTTTCATATCAGACTCACATAAATATATATTTTATATACTAACAAATTACATACGATATATATATTATTCTATTATACATAATCTTATTTGAAGTCAACATTTATTGTACAAAAATCAAAAAAAAAAAAAAAAAAAAAAAAAGAACAAAACAAACCAATTAAAGCACCGCACAAGCAACAACTTTAACATTTTATAATATATATATTCATATCCATATTATATACAAAATGAAAGGCGCCTGAAATAATCGAGGACGAACCGGAGCCCCTGAGCATGGCCTGGCCGGATACGGCTCGCAAGCGGCTCACCTACGTCCTGGTCGCCCCACTTCTGGTGCCCATGTGGCTAACATTGCCCGATACGCGCACGCCGCGCGGCAAACGTTTCTTTCCGGTCACCTTTATAGGCTCCATCTTGTGGATAGCCGCCTTTTCCTACCTCATGGTTTGGTGGGCCAATGTCATTGGTGACACAGCGCGCATACCCCCAGAGGTAGGTTCAGCTTAATTGAAAATTTAAGAATTTAAAGTACGGACATTTTGGTGCATTTTATCGAATATGTGTCAATATATGTTTGTGGGTTTCTAATAAATTATATCGTACTGTATATTTTATAAAAGTTTACAAAAATTAAAACTCACTAAGAGATACTCGTACGAGTATAAATATAGATTTTTAATATGGATTGCATACAAAGAGCACAGTTAGAGAACTTATAGAGGCCATATATGATTTACAAGCTTTCGAATTTTTCAAATATTATTGTGCTTATGTGCGTATATATTCTGAATATACATACTTAAATCATTCTAGATTTTTCCGTTTCTCAAAATTTCACTACAAGCTAACTTATTGAACAACACGTGGATTATGTTAATCTATTTGGACTCTTAGTTAGAAGCCAGAGCTATTTAAATTATTTTTAAGGGGTCCTGCCTTATAGATAAGATCAAGTTAAATACTCTTAAAAAATCGGTTTTCAGCTTATTTCTGATTACTATTTGGCCCTATTTTAACTGAAATTACTATTTTCAATTTCGTCTCAAGGTTATGGGCCTAACATTCTTGGCGGCAGGCACATCTATACCGGATTTGATAACGTCGGTGATTGTGGCGCGCAAAGGTTTTGGCGACATGGCTGTGTCCAGTTCGGTGGGCAGCAACATCTTCGATGTGACTGTGGGGTAAGTGAAAGCACCATTTAATATATATATATAGAAATATATAGATTTGAGACTGAGGCTAGAGACTAATTTTGACTTATATCTAATGTTTGGATATGTAGCTTACCGATACCCTGGCTGATCTATGGGATTATCTACGATGCGCCCGTTGAAGTGAACTCGGTGGGCATGGTCTGTTCCATAACCATATTGTTTATGATGCTCGTATTTGTGGTGCTATCAATTGCCTGCTTCCGTTGGCGCATGAACAAGGGGTTGGGCTTTACCATGTTTCTGTTGTACTTTGTCTTTGTTGCCGTTTCGCTGATGTTCGAATATGATTTGATCACTTGCCCCTTCTAAACACCACAGATGTGGGCAAAATTGCAGCAACAAAAACTCTGCAACAAAGTCAAATGTGACACACACCTACACACTCTCTCTCATACACACATTTACACTCACACACACACAGACGTACACGCGCAAACCAATTAGCTAAATTTATATACAAAACAAATTAATGAATTAAATTAACAAATTGACTAAGCTAATCGAATTGTTAAAAAAAAAGAAATGCATAAATCACGACACACACGAAGAAGCAAAACTAAAAGCTAAACAAAAACGAATACGAATACGATGAGCAAAACAAAAAGCAAAAACAACAAAAGTAAACTTTAATATAACAAAAAACGAGTTAGTTAGTGCTATGTGCAGCGTTTTTCCTTTTTCAACAAAAGAGACATTTACTTTAAATGTTTAGCCGCAGCTTTTTAAGCAGTTATTAATAAAAAGAAAGCCAACAACCTATAAAACGACACACACACACACACAAAACTCTTTAGCTTTATCTATCTATCTATCCTTCTCTCTACTTGAACTATGAACCTTAACAAACTTATCCATAATTGATTACCTACTTATTAGAAAGAAAAAAACCAAAAATAATGGCTTCCCAATCAATTACTTTACTTAGGCGTTTGGGTTTTTTAATTACTACTAATTACGATTATATAAAATCTTAGTCCTAACTTGGCACAAGCACCTTCTGTACGTTACGTAACAAGACAGCCATTACGTTGAGCATATTTTTTATAACTCTGCAAGTGTTGGGCAGCATCTTTCAAACTTTCAGACAAGCTACTTAACTGAATTCGAGCCTTAACTGCTTGAGAATTCCTAGCGAATATGGGCACACATTTTTAGATCACAATGTGTGCTAAACTTTTAACATGCATGGATTTGCCAAGTGAATCCTTAACTGTTTTAGAATTCTAAGCAAAAATAGCTTTTAGGTCCAACTTGTGTTGCCTAGCCTGACTAGAACTTTTTGAGAATTAAATTAAAAAGCTGTTTAGACCATTAAGTGTTCTAAAATTTTAAAAGCTACAAATAATTGAAGCATTTACCAAGTCCTTAGTATTTTGAGTCCTTCAACAGTTTTCATATAAACGTATGTTGAAAAATTTCAGAGCTAAAATCCTTTTAGGCTAGTTCCAACACTTGGCGCTCTCCAATACTTTAATTTGCATGCTCCACCAACTATAAATTGTTCTAGTAATTTTTCAAAATATATGAAAAAAGAAAAAAAGAAAACAAAAACAAAAAGAAAGCTTTACGCCAAACAGAGCCTAAATCAGTCTAGTTTTACAAAACTTTTGCTATATATAAAACTTATATACCACACGCACACTTGCATCGCATATATATACTTACTTATATATTGACCTATATTAATTAAGTGATAATTTGCGTACTTATTAAACAAAGAATAACTATACTCAAAAACAAAATAAAAACTCTAAATATATGAATAATAAATACTAGGAATACTTTGAAAAGAAAACAAACAAAAATAATAAAACATTTTGCTAAGCATTTGTCATACATATTTTAAAAACATGACGCTCGATCGAAAATTTACGACTAATCATTATTGTTATATTATGATTAATATTATGATTACAACTTATGATTCTTGTTGGCGTGTCAAAGGTGCAGTTATTTCAATTTAAATAATATTTATTGATAGACTACATACAACAACAACAAAAACAAAATGATATTTATTATTTCATATACTTTTTTCCTAATCCCCTGTGTATATATATATACAAATATGAGCATATACACATATTTATATATATACGACATGTAAAAGAAACAAAACAATATTTAAGCAAAGAAAAAACTTGCTCTCTTTATTTAGAACGTACGTAACATTTTTCTTAACTAAACCTAAAATCTTAAACCTTAAATCGTAAACTCAAAAAAGTGGCCGCAAGCAAAAAGAAGCAAACAAATAAAAACCAAACTTAACATAAAAACGCATTACATATATACATACTTATATATACATATATATATATATATATTTTATATATAAAGAAATGATAAAAGCATAAAGTATATATAAATATATATATGCAAATGTAACTTAAGTAGGCAATATATCCAAAGATAACCCAAAATGTTTGCATAAGGCTCGCAAATTAAAGTTGAGAAAACCAAAAATACTATTAAAAAAAAAAGGAAAAGCAAAACAAAAAATACTATAAAAAACACACATGAAACAAACACAAAAACAAACAACAAAAACAAAAAAACACAGAACAGAAAGCAATAATTTTTACAACAAGGCGAAGGCGAATAAATTTAAATGAGAACTAGTGGCAGTGACATAACCTTATATATATATATATATATATAACTACTACATATAATACCACGGAATTAAGAGAAAAAAAAAGTTTTTTAAAGCACGGCCAAGAAACATAATAACAACAACAAACATTGCAAACGAGACGACCGGAGTTTAGCCCCAGCTGTTGTATAGACTAGTCGAAGCCATCAGATATACTTATATATAAAGATATACATACATACCTATAAATAAAATAATATATATATAGATATATATGTACCTTGAAAGGTAAAGAAGTGTGTATGCTCTTACACCCCATGGGTGGTGCAGTGCATATATAAATGCACATATACATTCTTATTATATGGACATACATACGAGATTATAATTACAATGCAACAAATTAACAGAGAACACCAAAATACCATAAAAAAAAAGAGAAGAATAGGAACAAAACTTTTACATTGTATTAATACAACGAGGCATATATTAAGTACGTCACGCTAACTACCGTGCTTAGCCAAATGCTCGATAAACCACAGCTACAACATGGCACTAGAAACCACCACACACCAGCACCACCACACGACATTTTATCGTATATGGTCGACAAGCCAAGGAACTCGAAAGGTGCGACATTGAGAGCGACATAATTGCAGTTATATTAACTTTATATCTTCTAAACTGAATCTATCTATCTACTAAATAGCTCACTCTTCGAGCCCTAGCAATACGCTTTAATTAAAGTAATCTACTTGTTTTGGTTATTAACACTTTAAGATTTTATCTAACTATTTCTTAAACCAAGGGCAACGACCTCAAAACTCGAGCTATGCTAAAATCTCTGAAAGCTTGCTGCTTTTAATTCTCCTCCTGTCTTTTCTCTGCAGCTGAATCAATGCGGCACTTGAAAAGGATTTGTTATTATGAGTAAACATGATATATCATGAAATCTGATAATTTAAATTGTCGTTATCTATAGTCCTTATATAATTCAAACTTATATAATTGTACGATCAAGTCTGGAAAGGCTTTTTAGAGTAGGCCAAGCATAAACGAAAACAATTCTTAGCCCGATATTCAGTTGTGCAATTCAGTCCATTTTATATAGAACACTTGAAGAAAAGGGATTCCCGGCACTGTTTAAACTTATTTGCAGCCTTCTTATAAATCTACCACAGAACCTTCCCATACTATTGAACTTGTACTGTTTAATTACACTCTACATCCGCTCTCATATTTCACTTCATTGTCAATGCCGCAAAAGTTCGTGTGCGTCTATAGCCGACCATATATGTGATATAGTAAGTCTCATAAATAGACTCTCTCAGCATTCTCAACTCGGACGCTCACTCTCACGTAAAGATCAATGGTGGGCTCGGGAACGTAGAGCAATCGGAAATATCAAGGACAATTGAATTGCTTTTGAAAAAAGATAACTTCCAGTACTTACAAAGCAAATCGAAAAACAATTAACGTAAACTTTTATACATGCTGTATATGGTTAAAACTAAACTATAATCTTCCAAATTAAATTTAATACCAAAAACCAAATGCATGCGAGTACATACTTATATAAACATATATAAAAACATATATATTATACGATATATATATATATACATACTGAATACTAAAAACAACCAAACTTACTTATTTAGTACATAACACGCAGCACATACTCATACACACACACCCCACACACACACACACACAAACACACTCATTTACACTCACTTAAAACATATCGCGCCCACTTTTCTCTATAAAGTACTACGAGCGAGTACAAAACTTATGTAGAACTAACTATAGTAAAGAGTATTTCAACAAAAAAAGTAAAAATACTAATCAACAAAATTTATGAAAAATTGTTAATCAACGAGCATTCCCTATGGAATATTCGTATACTACTATATACTTTCGAAGCACTTTCTCTCTAAAAACCGATTACCCAAACCATAGAGTGCAGTACAAATGTCAGCGTCTGTTAACATTTACAAAAGACAACAAACAAACAATCAAATCAAAATGAAGGACACACACACAGACACCTGCATATAATAATCAAGATCGGAATCAGCGTAGTTAGCATCAATTGTTCAATCATATTCAGAACTCAAACTCCTTTCAACTCCCAGATCCTAACTCAAAAAAAAAAAAAAAAACAAAACGCACACCAACACGCACTTGTCAAGTGGGAGTCGTTAAAGTCTCGCTTTAAAGCAAATTATATAAGATTATATATATATATACAAGAAATATATATATATATATATAAATGAGAAATTGTTATGGTTATAGATTTTTAACAAGTTGAATAATTGCGTAACAAGAAAAACAAAAAAATGTCAAACCAAAAAAAAAAATTGTTGAAAAATTAGTAAAAATGTTCATAACATACAAATGAAGCGTAACGGAGCAAGAAATAAAATTAAATTAAATGATTAATGATTAATAAAAATACAGTATATACTTTATGAAATATTTAACTTACAAATAATAAAAAAAAATCATTGTTTGAAATTAAAGTGAAAAAAAAGACAACTGAAAAACCAAAAAAAAAAATAACAATTAACACGCGTACAATTCCTGTGTCTGCTAATTTTATCCTTGACCAAATTTTATTTGAGTTACAGCTTTAATCGCCGTAAGTATTACACAAAATTCTCATTTTTACTAAACAATTGGCATTCGAAAATTCCATAGAAATTCTAAAATATGAAATTAGCAAACACATAGCACCGACAAACAATTACTGGACGCTACATAACTCGAACTCGCGGGTACAGTTGAGTTAGGAGTTAACTAACTATTAAATCACCAAATACATAACGTGAGAGCACATATTCATGAATATCAGCTTTAAATACGAAATATAAATATAATAAATATAACAAATATATTGATTTTTATAAGTATATTATATTATTATGTATGTACCCACAGATAGTATGTATAACTCTCTCTCCTTCCTTTTTTTTAATACGTAACGCCGTGTATACAAAACTTATATTCGAATATATATACCTATATTTATATATAGTGTGTGCATATACGAGTACATCAAATAAACGTTTCAAGTTGCGTCCGTTGTATAATACAAGCAAAAAAAAAAACAAAGCAAACAAACAAAAACAATAAACAATAAAATGCAGCGACCATAAGATTTCCAGCTGTCAGCTTTTGTCTGCATTGATCAACGATAATCGATTAACGATTGCAAAGCTGTCAGTTGTCGCTTGCAGCGCTCGAACTTTACTTTGAATTAGAGAATTAGAGATGGGCACAATATGTCAACGAATGACACGAGCAGGAAACACGAAAACAAGACGCGCACGACTATATCAAATATGGGTTTAAATAGATTATGACATATAATTGAACAAAACTCAAGCTTTTTCGAACTGTTTGACCAAAAGAGAAAGAATATTTCGTTATCAGAATCGATAAATTTTCGTGTTGCTTAAATCGTGTCGATCATTCGTGCGCGTGTCGCAAAACAAAAAACACGACATGTGCCCAACTCTATTTTTTAAGCAGCAACAAAATAAAACAACGATAATATAAATATTAAGAAGCGTAAAATGAAATAACGTCAAAGAGAATCCAACAAAAAGTAATAGTTAACATATTGGTAGACTAATTTAAAGTTTTTTATAGCGTTTTCAAATTTGTAAGTATATAACAACAACAAGAAGAACAACAACAGTGCGTTTATTATTTTTAATAGGTAATGCAATTATCGATCATAGATAATTCCTATCGATTTGGTACCGTTGGCAAAGTATAAAGTAACCGTCGTGTGTGTAATACAGAAAATTCCTTACCCACCAGTGATTTTTGTGTTGTTGAGTTTAATTGTTGTACGATGTTTACTTTACATTTTTTTACATATGTACGCATAGAACGTAGTCATTAATATATATATGTATGTGGTTTATTTTTTGTAACGAGAAACGTTGAGCATGTAATTAGTACATATGCATAAATGTTAATTTGAATAGTCAACAATGAGAGTATTATAATACGAAAAAAGAGAATTAATTTTAATAACTGATACGCTTTTAGCACATAAGATTGTACAAATAATTTATATAAATACATACATACATTCACATAATATCAAGGACAATTATAAACGCTAAAATGTTTATAAATTGAAACAATATAGAAACGAATCTTGCAGTAAATGTATATTTTAGTTTCTATTTTTACCATATGTTATTTTGAATGCCCTTTTGTTGTAATATTTGTATATTGTAAGCCTTACAAGACAGGATGGAGAACAATCGATCCTGTTTAACGAGTCAAACGAAAGTGATGATGCCATTGGATTGAAAAATATAAGAAGTGAAAACCGGGAATCCCTGAACTTGCTGAACAATTGAATTCGGCTTTACTTTACAACAGTTGCAAAAAATACAGCGATGCTATAATACAGAATGTTATTTACTTTATAGAAGTACATATATACATACATATATATTTAATGGAAATATTTAGATTTTATACAAAACACAATCACTAATTCTCCCCTCCTAAAACCCCATCCCCGCCCAACCCACACATCAAATTAGAATTCATGATTGAAAAAATAAAACACGACAACCGCATGGACTAGAAGCAAATCAAATAAATAGTCAATTTCGATGATATATATATATATATATGTACTGGCTGGCACACAAAATACGAGTAATACAAATATGACAAATACACAAGTTGATAAAAGATATTAAAGCATTTTGAAGAGAAGAGGGGTGTAAACGGAACGACACTTATGTAAATCAAAACGAAGCTAATAAACATAGATACAATGTTAACTAGTTATTTAGGTGAAATATACAACAAATCACACTCAGATACATTTAAATCGTAACGCTTACAAACACACACACCACACACACACACGCACACACACACATACACACAGTTGAAAGCGTCAATAACGAGCAAAGTGAAATACCGTTACATAGCCGAGTTGTAGCAGAGCCGCAGCAAACGAATAAACGAATAAAATGGCCGTTTAATAAAAACTTTTGTTATTAACAAAACAAAAGAAAATTGTAAAGCAAAATTGCATTCAGCATATTGCAAACAACCAAAAAAAAAAAAAAAAAAAAAAACAAAAATGAATATATAAAGTTAATGTTCAAACTAACTAAAATATAACAAATATTATATAATACAACAAACTTAGACTGTATGTTATTTTCTCAATACAATACCTACCTATAAAAACAATAAAAACAGATTCAATAAAATGAGTTATCCAAAAGGCACAGCACACTGTTTGAATCTAGCGCGCTGGCGAACTCTGCCAGAAGTGGCAGCATTGGCAGTCAGTGCTACCCATTCTATATGCGTGCTCACGGCGAGCGACAAGACTGCTGTTTAAATTTGGCGCGCAACGGAATTAACAGCGACAGTATGGCAGCACTATTATTCAGTGCTGCCTAAACATTTACGTGCTCGCAGTGAATGGCAAGTATTCTACCAATTTCAATATTTTGTAATATTGTGTCTGCGGTCACACTGTCCCTTCCCACGCGACCAATAACACAAAAACGTGTGTTTTGGTACGGTGCGTGTTTTTATATAAAATAAACCAATTTAAACGCGAATCAGCTGTAAAATACAGTTGATTTAGGCTAATTAATAGCCGCTCTATACAACTGTCATAATGAGACGTCCCAAGAAGGTAAGTTGCACTATAAATACTAACACGCAATTTGATGCGAAGTTGTGAGGTTATTTTTCATACACTAACCAAATGAACGGTATATTGAATTTTTAAGCATACTTGCTGTGTCCTTTTAACTTTGCATGATTTTCTTTGTAGTACGAGGCAGGCGAAGCCACACAGTATATAAGTCGACGTGCTGCGCTGCGCAAGTTGCAGCTCTCCTTGAATGATTTTCGCCGCTTGTGCATATTAAAGGGTGTTTACCCGCGTGAGCCGAAGCACAGAAGACGCGCTCAGAAAGGCTCCTCGGATATTAAGATCTTGTACCATGCGAAGGACATACGGTTTTTGCTCCACGAGCCCATTGTGTGGACGCTGCGTGACTATAAGGTATTAGGACAACTGCATAATAATGCTTGCATACTGTATAATGTCTTCTATTGCTTTACAGATCTTTGCCAAGAAATCGGGTCGCGATCGCGCCATTAAGGACTTTCGCAATCTGAAGCGCCGCCTGGCCATGTTTCCAGAAATCAAGCTCGATCACATAGTAAAGGAACGTTATCCCACATTCATTGATGCGCTCAAGGATTTGGACGATTGCCTCACGCTACTCTTTCTGTTCAGCACATTTCCATCGCTGCATTTGATACCGCGCGAGCAGTCGAATCTTTGCCGCCGCCTGACCATCGAGTTTCTGCACTATGTGATTGCCTCCAAGTCGCTGCGCAAGGTTTTCATTTCCATCAAAGGCTACTATTTCCAGGCAGAGATCAAGGGTCAGAAGGTCACCTGGATAGTGCCACATTATTATCCCTTTAAGCCACAGTCACGTCAGGAGGTGGACTTCAAAGTCATGTCCATTTTCGTCGAGTTCTACACCATCATGTTGGGCTTCACGAATTTCCGTTTGTATCATGGCCTCAACCTGGCCTATCCACCACAGTTTCCCAGCAACATGCTGCAGGACAATGCGGACACGTTGAAAGACGAGTCCAGCTTCGTGTCGGATCGCATTACAGCGCTTAACTTTGAGCTGCTACGCACAGATAAAGTGCAGGAGGATGAGGAGGAGCCTGATATCGATATGGAGCTGCTAGAACAGGATGGTGACTCCAAACGCATCATCAAAATGAAACAGGAAGCACAGGAAGTGTCGCGGCTACGTAACCTGTTTAAAGGCTTGAAATTCTTTATCAATCGCGAGGTGCCACGCGAGCCGTTGGTCGTCATCATACGCTCCTTTGGCGGCAAAGTATCCTGGGATTCGTCTGTATTTTCGGGTGCCACGTACGATGAGAACGATGAAACCATAACACATCAGATTGTGGACAGACCCAGCCTAAGCACACAGTACATCTCCAGGGACTACATACAGCCCCAGTGGATCTTCGATTGTGTCAATCAGCGCCAGCTGCTGCCCACCAACAAGTACTTCCTAGGCGAGTCGTTGCCGCCTCATCTGTCGCCATTTGTCGATGCCAAACGCGACACTTATATACCGCCAGAGGAGAAGGCTCTGCATGATCCCTCCCTGATCGAAACACATGGTAAGAGATTAGATTATTAACAGCCCACTTGCCAAGATGCTAAACTCAGACATTTTCCACAGCTCAAAGCGACGATGAATCCGAGGATGATGCTGCAGCAGAAGATGAGGATACCGTGGAACAGGAGCTGCTCGATGCGCAGCTGCAGCGCGCCTATCAACAGGAGACGGCCGAGTACAAAAAGTATGGGGGTGCCGACGGTGTCAATGAGGATGAGGAAGATTCCGACGAAGAGGACTTCGATGGGGACGAGCAGGAAAGCGACGACGACGATGAGGAGGAGGAGCTCGATGAAAAGGAGAAGCGACTTTTAGAAGAGGTGCGTTATCAATTATTTTTCTTAATACGAATTCATTTAAGGTATCTTCAATTGCTTCTAGAAACAAAAAATGTCTGTCCAATCGGGCAAAGTGCACAAAGTCAACAAGAGACAGGTGCACAAAGCAGAGGTGGATGAACATCGTCTGCAGGCACGCATGGTCAAACCGCGACATCGCAATCTCTTCCGCAAGCTGATACGCGAGAAACAGGCCAAGGAGAAGGAAGAGTGGTTGCTGCGCAAGAAGCGCCGCACAATCGAAACCGATGCTAAGGAGGCCAAAAAATTGGCCAAGCGGGAGGCGCGTAAGGCGGCTGCTGCCGCAGCTGCAGCTGCCGCCCAGTTGGGCGCAAAGTAAACGGCTAGCTCGCGCTATTCCAGAACCTGTGTCTTGATCTTAGTCTTAGCTTGTACCCAAAACCCAATAAAAATACAAAAATGTAATAACTCAGCGAGTCCTTGCACGATGTACGTGAGGATACAGTCGAGAAAGGGATATTATTTTCTAAAAACTAAAATAAGCTAAAATTTCACTGTATCCTGACGCGCATATCGTATTTCAAACACATTGTACCTACACAACCCCTTATCCTTAGATGCCAATCGGTGAAGGTTGTCCTTACGATCCTTACGCAACAATTCCTTTGAAAATCTGCAAGGATATGCCGAGTTATGGCTAATTTTCTAAAAAGGACGTTATCACAAAATCGGCTGTAACTTGGCTATTTAAAGGACTTTCGTGATATTCTTTGGCGAGCAGACTGGGCTTGTCCTGCCAATTCATAATACACAAAGAAAAGGACGAAAGTCTTGCGAAAGCCGAGATATAAGGACTTTTCTTTTGTATATTATAATACCCATAGCTCAGCCGTATCCTTGCGGATCCTGAAAAGTCCAGTGTCAAAAGATTAGTATTGACTAGAGCTATCAGCTTGCCAAAGGACATTGAATTCGTCCTTGTAGTTTCCAAGATATCGCTAATTTTCTGAAAAGGACATTTTATTTATAGCCAAAACTCGGCCAAATCCTTAAGGATATTGGAAGGATATACATTTTTGAACTCGTAGGAGAGAGGACTATCGATTGGCATTTAAGGATTTCCAGGATTTGACAAAAAATTTCGCGAAAATTGTTTACAGGGGTTTAGTCGCAAAATTGGCCAAAATCGAAAAAATCGGGGCTAACTTTGCCATTTTAAGGACTATCGGGATGTCCTTTGGCCAGCAGATAGTCCTCACCCTCCCAAACTCAAATCAATTACAAAAAGGACGAAAGTCCTTCAAACGGCAAAGTTTTAAGGACAAATTTCGCAACAGAAAATTGCCTATAACTCAGCCATATCCTTACGTATCCTGACGAGTCATGCGTCAAAAAAATTGTATTGACCAGACCAATCAACAGGCCAAAGGGCATCGAGATCGTCCTTGTAGTTTTAGAGATATTAAGGATTTTGTGTTTTAGGCCCTTTTCCTTGCGATTCGCGGCTGAAATTTCACCATGTCCATGATTCTTAGATAACCCCATAATTTTTTGATGCAGTTCGATGCAGCTGGTCCCTACGTTCCCAACGCACCGTGTCCTTTAAAAATCTGCAAGGATACGGCTGAGTTATGGCTATTTTTCTAAAAAGGACGTGATCACAAAATCGGCCAAAACTTGGTTATTTCAAGGACTATCGGGATGTCCTTTGGCGAGCAGACTGTGCTTGACCTACCAATTCATTGTATACAAAGAGAAGGACGAAAGTCCTTCAAACGTCAAAGCTTTAAGGACAATTTTTACAGCACTGTAACTCTCCAATATCCTTACGAATCCTGACGAGAGATGTGCCAACAAGATTATATTGATCTGGACTATCAACTGTCTAAAGGACATCACGGTCGTCCTTGTAGTCCACAAGATATCATGAATTTTGTGATGTCATTCTTGCATTTTAAATAATCTGGTGGCTCGTAAGATAGATTTCAATAAAATTTCATCAAAAAGTTTTTGCCCAAAAAAAAGTTTTAAAAAATTGTATTGCATACTCGCAGGAGTTATATTTAAATGACTAAAGAAATACCAAAAACCGGCCGACAATAAATGTCCGTTATATTTAAAAAATTTTTGCGTTTATTTTATAAAAAAGTCTTAAGCTACCATTTCAAGGGCTATCCTAATGTCCTTTGGGCAATGAACAGTCCTCGTCCTGGCAATAAAGAATATTCAATTATAAGGCCGAAATTCCTTTAATGAGCCAAGATAACAGAAAATGGTCTATAGCTCAACCTTATCGTTGCGAATCCTGACGGGTCCGATGTCCAACAACTCGCATTACCCAAGGCTGATATATCAACACGGATTTAAGAAGCAGGCTTTCGATATTATTTGAATAGATTATGTTGCACAGTTTTTCGTTACATTTTTAAAGCTTAAATAAACGTTCGAACAATAAGAACTCGCCATAATCGATTTTGAATTTTACAGTATCTGAATAGAACACATGAATCGCATAAAAATTATAATATAATCATAAAAATATATATATTATAACAACAAAAATACAGCAGTAAAGCAATAAAAAAAATAGTTATAAATATATAGTAGAACGGAGAGAAAAAAGATCTAAGGAATTGCAAAACGTCACATATGTTTGCTTACATTCCTAGTTATGCATAGCTTGGTTTCTGTTTGGGGAGGATTAGTTTTGATGACGGGAAATATATATTGGCTTTAGAGGTAAAGCTAGACCTAGTTGCTTGGCTATAGAAACTGTTTTAAAAATTTGTTTTAATGAATTTTAACTAACGATTTGTCGCTCATCGTATAACCTAAGTTTTGTATATGTATATATAGTACTCGTATATTGTATATGCCCTGACACAGTCCAAGTCTGTCATAAGTAGTACCTATTACTCTATAATTATATGTTTTTCGGTTGTTTTTTTTTTTTCATTTGTTTGTATGTTTTTAGAAACAACTGCACGAGTCTTGCGTTCTCCGCTTTTGTTCTCGGGTAAGTCCAATAAATCGTTTGAAATAAAATGCTATGGGATCTTAAGGATATAGTCCTTAATCGCTATCGCTATTATCGCCGCCCGCCGCACCATCATCGTCGTCATCATCGTCGCTATCCTCCAGTTCGGGCATAGGGAAACGCAGAATAGCCGCAACGCCCGTCAGCTGAGCGAGTTCTGAAAATTTAAAATAAAATTATTGGGACAATAATGTATTAAATTAAAAATATATAGTAAGACCTTTCAAACAGTTATTTTCAAAAATATTAGAGCCTTTTAAGGCTTTATATCATAAGCAAGTCTAATTTGCATAATTATTTTATGGTGTCTGCCTTTGTTACCTGATTATTATCAATTACCCCCACAAATCGATAACTATCGATTATCTTCGCATTCGATAACTATATATTATCCTTAAACATCGATAAATATCGATAGCCTGCCAGATGTTTTCTACAAATTTCAAATTATGTTTTTGGTTATATTATATTTAGTTCAAAAATATATATTGTGTTTATCGTATTCCTAAAGCGACATATACTTAAAAATTTGTTTAGAAATATAATTTTAATTTTTGGTACATGCACATACTTGAAAGTCAGCTAAAAGAACGCAGAACATTTCTTAACGATTGGAAAATAAATACAGAATAAATTCAAGAACAGAAAGTCTATAGCTAAGCGCCTTTTCGAGTGAAGTTGTTCCACTTATTTTCCCTGCATATTTTGAGATCGCACAAATATGATTTTGGTACCAGCTAACTGTGAACGACTTTGTCAACTAGTTAAGAAGTGGACCATGGTTGAACAAGTTGATTGCACAATTTATGCATCCGGTCCGAGATTAGCCTAGCTTAAGAACTCTAGTTATCAGTGGGTTTCTTGGGTAAAGCGCATTCCCACAACTTTGGTCTTGCAGTGCGCTTAGCCAAGGCCAAGCTAACCAGTTAAATTTTTTTTATTATTTGCACTGGGCGTAGGAGTGGCAGCTGACATAGTCAAGGCTCACCGGTTCTAGAGAACTGACTCACATTTGAACTTAACATTCAACTTGGAGTGCAGCAAAAAAAAAAAAACTAAGGTATTACAATTTACAATATGCAAATGTTCCTGAGGCAATTAAATATGTAGAGCTCCATAAACTAAAAGAAAACAAAAAAACCAAAACCATGCAGAGCTGTGTGAAATGCTCAATATGCTTTAGTTTAGTATAGGTTCTGATCGGTTGTGTTCGGGCTTTTGACTGTTTACTTATTGAAATTGCTGCGTTGTTTTATCTACACACAATTTAAATCAAGTGCTCGAATTGTTGTTTTGTTTACATTACTCTACAATGTTTGTATATAAGTAATTTCAAGCTGATTAAAACGATCGCACAGCAACAAGAGCAGGAGGAGGAGGAACGACACTTGAGGAGGCGCTTCCAGCGATAACGCGTTAAATAAAACTTATGTGGAAATGTTCAAGTGGCGTTGAAAGACAGTCCCGATATGCAAATTTCATTTTACAAGCGGTACAAGCTGTACAAGTTACAATAGATACAAAGTATTCGGTTCTATTTTAGAAATACGGCGACCCATTTACGTGATACAAGCAAAAATGCTCAATGCGAGTGTGCTGAACTAGGATATACCCATTATAGGCCTACGATAGACACTAATAGCAAGTTAGAATATCTTTGGCACGCTGAAGATTCGTAGACATTTTACTCAAGGTTTTGTAGATATGTTAGAATAGTCAAGTTCGTAAATGCTGAGTTTTATGAAAATATCGTAGAACAGACTATTTTACCATACAAGCACCTAATTTTCAACCAATCATTCCTATGGCAACAATATGATATAGTCCGTGTTAATAGGATTTTCATAAATACGAGAAGGCTAGTGAAATTTATAAATGCCTATTTTGGTCACGATATACTCACGATAGCTTTAAAGCTGAGAGACTAGTTGGTGCCAATTAAGAATATATACATACTTTATGAAGTCGGAAAAATGAGAACACCCTGTACAAGGAACATATATACATACATGCATTCAGGGCAACTGACAAACGGATTTCTGGTTTCAAATGTCGAGCTAAGTTTTGGATGTAGTCAGCGCTAGTTGAAAAATTGGATAACAAGTTTGTAACTATTTTCTATACTTGTAACTATAACTTTATAAAACTTAAATAAATTGGACTTTGACAAGGTCAGAACACAACATTTATACAGAACCAATTTTAGCCTGAAATTCGATATTTTTTATTTCACTGAACCGAAACTTGAACCAAAATAATGCTCTACTTGGAAATATGTCCAGCTTCTACAATAAATTGCTAAGCTTTATAGTTTGCGTTATGCCCAATTTTACCAGTCTACAGGGTATTTAAATTGGCAAAAAAACGTTGCCAAGTCGCAGACAATTGATAAGAACACAAAAAGAATACCCAACAAATGCGACACGTGAGTCATTTACCAAGCAGCCGCAGGGCGCAACAAATTGCTATTTAAAGCGCCTCAAAAATATTTACACAACATGTAAAATGCAATTTTAATTAACGCCAAGTTAAATTTATATTGGAAATTGAAAGTGCCCTCAAGACAAACTGATGTGCAATGGGCTTAAAGTCCAATTGCGTAAATTATGCATTGCAGGAGATTCCTTCGAGAAATATATATCTATATATACACATAAGCATATGTATCAATTTATCTGTGTGCATACGCAGTGCAAGTCATGTAAAAATAGAACTCTTAACGAGGTCATTAGACAGAGGGAGGCCTGTGTACACATTTTCTATACCAGACTGAACATCAGGCATAGACATTTTGCATGTTTCTCTATAGAACATGCAATGCGATTTTCTATAGCTGGCTAACAAGAAATCCTCAAAAAATGTTAGATACAAGGATTTCCATAGATCAATTTGTGAAGGGTTACAAAAATTCTAAGGCGTAAAAACTTGCTACTCAAAGGAAGGCTTTGGAATACAATAGGTCAAATGTGATGAAAGAATATAATCAAATTTCTATTTCATTACTGATGTTCTGCTATTCAAGACTTGATTCCATGCTAATTCGTAAAATGTACTAGCGTTATTTCATGCCAAATACTCACGTTCTCCCGATATATGCATGCTGGAGAATATTTTCACCTCGCCGCCAGCATCGCGCACTGATTCAACTAGGTTGACATATTCTTTCCTGAGATTAACGTCTTGGCATCTGTATAAACGAAATAGGGAAATCGAAAATAGATATTACATAAATACATAATTGAAAAATATTAGATCAAGTTTTGTAAAGCGTATAATGAGGGGAATCCCATGTAAAAACATGCCTACATTTAAAAACTATACCTAGTTCTCTTAACTAACAAAACTAGCTAGTAATTTATACCAAAAACTTGTGAATGTTTAATAAAATATCTTACATAGTCTAAGTATAAGCAACATGAATTGGGAAGCTTAAAATTCCTAGTGTGAGCTTTGCTTTTATTTGAAAAGAAAATTAAAAGCCCTTTTTCCAAATAAACTAATAAATTTCTGAAGTTATCGCAAAAAATCAAGTATCTAGAGACAAATACGTAGACTTTGTGGATTATAAGGCAAGAAATAATGATAGATATAGCATAAAAAATATGCCACCAATAATTATGTAAAAGTATATGCCTGGATAATATGAGTACTAATACGAAACTCGAAAAGGCATCTAATAATATCCACATAAAGGAATAAAACGCTCTAAAGTAAAGAGGCAGGCCTGTAGAGTGGGAAAACCAAAACAGAAAACATTACAAATGCACAGAGTTAAGCTGCAGATCAGTTACAAGACTTTCATTCGGAACATGCAAAATATAGAAATACCAACACGAAACAGCGCTACACGAAACCCTGAAGCCGCATTAGGCAAATGTTAGATATAAAGACAATTAATATCTATTACGATTCAAACTACGTGATATTGCACATCCACAATTCGATACTCGATACTCGCTGAAAATAGCGAAACGCTTAATCATTGACGCAAAAGTCATATGATGGGTGCACCACAGACATACATAATGCATAGGGTGTCAGGTTGAGCTGGAATTTATAGGTTCGCGAGCGCGACAAAGGTTACAGTTATAGGCATTGGGCTAATTGCGATGAAATTGCAAGTTTTCATTGCAAATCGTTAATTCTAAAAAGTACGAATACTCAAAATGCCGGCGAGGTTCAAAAACCTTAGCAAATGTTAATGCTACAAAGATAAAAACTCGCAAATAAAAACTGCGCCTTCCCATTAAAGAGTAAAAAAAAATTCAGCACAGGTAAAATTTCAATTATCATTTTATATTGAACGCACAAAAAGCGGTTTCTGTCGTTTTATTGTGCTAAGAGCGCACCCAAAGAGCAACACAGTGTGACCAGATTAGCTAACGATCTCTCTGTCAAGTGCCTTTCTCTTGAGCTCTCCCTGTGGATGCCATCCGCGAGTACGCGACAATGCGTTCCACAGCACGTGTAGCCGTTAGAGAGAAGAAAAAGATAAACAGCAGCAATTTTTTGTGTGATAGCCCGACTCGGGTATACCCTGTAAACGATATTTACAACGTTTATGACATAAAAACTTTGCTTTAAATCAACAGTTAAAACGAATGTAATTTGAATTTTCATATTGAAAAACTTTAAATGGTAATACTTTAATACTTTTGATATAAAACAATAGTTAGCGTAGTTAATTAATTAGAAAGAAAAGAAAAATTGCATAAGCAAGCTTAAAATCAGCCAGAGATATTTTTTAGGAATTTTTAGCGTGTTCAAATTTAAGTAGAATTTTATCAATTCACAATACACTTGCCTGCTCTTGCTGTATGTAACTGTAGCTTCAGTTTAAATAAAAGTTTATCAACTGAAAAACTTATCGACAATAACGACTATGTTATCCATTTTTTGCCAGCTTGCATGCTTCTAACTCTAGCTTCCGTTGCTGTTAACCGTTAACCAAACAAGAGTTTACACGTTCCCACTATATAAACAAATAATAATAATATACCCTATATAGTATTTTGGCACACGGTATCCAAAGAGAGCTTAAACGAGCGGCAGAGACCGTCTCGCTGTCCGTTCGTGTAGAATTAGTTGTAAAGCGGCTTTCTTGCGACGCGCACGTCGGCACAGTGGGCAGAAGAATACAAGAAGCAGAATTGCAGCGAAGAAAACAACGCGACGCGTTTGCCACGCAAAAAGAAATTGGTGCTAAGAAAAACAACAAGAGAGAAAGCAAAAGGTGCGTGCAGGCCAAAGTGAAAGTTATTGTTGCTGTCCATGTCAAGTGCAAAAGGTTTAAAAAAAAAAAAGAAAAACAAGGGAGATACGAAATCAAGTTTTGGGATTTTTCTTATAGACTACTTTGGAATTTTGCGGCTTGAGTCAGCGCTGGGCATTGCAGCTGCAGCATTTGTATCTGTGTATCTGCGGGCTACCTGTGTATCTTTTTGCTCATCCGCTAACCGCAGTCATGAATTGAATTCATTGTTGATGTTGTTTTTGTTGTTGCTGCTGCGTGACAATGATTGCACAATGAAATCAATTGTTATAATGGAATTAACGGAACGTAGGTGAAAGAGCCATGGGCGTTCGGGGGGAGGCGCGGTTCAGCTGAGGTCGCTGTAGAAAGAGACGTAGAAAGGCCAACGTCAAGACGCATGGGAGGGAAATGTCTAATTAACTGTATCGCATGTCAGTTAGCATCTAAATTGAAATGAACTTGTGTGAGTGAAAAATTCAGAATGCAAAATGTTGGAAAATTTTGCATCTCAACTTTTCGGTCTTTCATTTGAGCGAACCCGATGTCGAAACTTGTTTTTTGGTTTAATGCAATAAACTAACTGCAAAAACTCACTATACGTGTTTTGATTGGAGAGTATGTCGTACCAATATTTAATCAATTTACTGGCTTCTTCATGCAGTGAGTGAACCTAAACATTGATCAATCACCGATTTCTTTATGTGCCACACCACGTCAACTTAACCCAAATACAAAACGGCTTCAAAGAGTGACAAAAAGCTGGCCACGAGCTGTCAAATTTTAGATACTCTAAAAACTTGAGTGCGAACAGGAGAGCCAAACACATCTAGTAAATCTATCTTAACTAAAATGAACTTGATATAATATATAAATATTTATTTTTAATGCCCAAATCAATTTTTTTTTAAGGAATCCCTCTCCCTCTCTTTAAATTTGAATAATAGGCTTGGAAACATTTTTTTGTTGAAACATATTTTAGTAAAATATTTTGAAATATATTCTAATTGCACATTTGAAGCTTTTTTAACTTAAAAATCGTATAACTCTTTATTTTAACGGACGGGTTTATTGGAAATTAAATCCACTTTAGGAGAAATAAAAAAATAAATAAAAATCAGTTTCAAATGTTGTGAACCTTTTTAAAACATCTTGTAACGGACCCGATCTGGCTTGAATATAAGCACAACTTCCAAAAAAAATATCTAATCATTAATATTATAAAAAAAAACTTTTACCTAAACGCACATTATTTTGTAAATCAAATGTTTTGAGGGCATGTAAACAACTTTGCAAAAATGCGTCGCACATTTCGTAAAAGTTTGAACGTGGTATCTGGTAGAGGGCATATAAAAAACCAGCGCCCTTTCATTTCTTGCACAATTCCAAAGAGCATAAAATACGAATAAAACCAAAAATAAAAAAACTGCTCACGAAATGTCCCAGTAGCGCGTGCCCAAAATAATATTCAAAATACACAATTGTATTCCAAGTCAATATTTACACAGAAACCACAAGAGGCAACAGGCAGCAGCTGCGGCTGGAAACAGGGGCACGTTGCACGAGGCACTGAAAGCCCTAAAACAAAAGACTAGAAAAACTGGTTGCAGCAGATAAATGCAACAAGAAAATATGAAAAATTACAATGTAATAAAAAAAAATCAAGCAGAGAACTGCTAAAGAAAATGCGAATGGGAAGCAAGAGGCAAGTGATAAACGACTAGAATGGGGCATGCACAGAGAAAGGGCATGCACCATTACGAGCTGCAAGAAGCAGCCAAAGACTGCCACAATTCAACGCAAGTGGATCATATTACAGAGAAGAGCACACGGGCAGGTTTCGGAGACAGCGGCATATGTGGAATCCATGTGGCTCAATCGCAAGACAAAAACAGAAAATAGTCCAGAATTCAAACAGAAATAAACAAAATGCGTGTTAAAGCTAAGAGCTACAAACTTGGCTTCAGCTCAGAGCCATAAACGGTGCGATTTAATAAAGTGAAATACGTTAAATATCTATAATTTTTTTGTTGTTGTTATTGTATTTGCCACCCACATACGTGCTAATAATTAGCGCAACTTAGAAGGCGACACAAAGAAATGGAACAGGCAAAACGCAAATAGAGTCGCGCTACAAATGCAGATACGGATACAGTAAAAACTCAACTGAGCGAGCGACAACTGAAAGATATGTTGCAGAAAAATAGAGGAAAACTATACGGGTCTGTTTTATAGGACCATTTAATTTTTTCTCATTTCGATCTCAAATTTTACCGATCGAGTGCTTGAAATTCTTCACAATCTATGGAATACCATACATTAATAATAAATAAATCTGTATGTTTGTTCGTTAGTAGGGTCTTCACTGTATTTGGTTAGGAGCTACGTATAAATTTACAGTTACTTATACATATTTAAGATACAGATACAGTTACTTACACAATGGAAAGATACAGATACAATACACAAAAGATACAGCTACATCTAAATTTACACGACTATTAGTGCTGTGCAAATCAGAATTGTAAAACCCAAGTACTCTAAACTGAAACAGCTCTATAAACAAAGATCTCAGACCGCGTCAATCGAGCTGAAATATATATATACAAAATATACATACGTATACAAAAAGCTGAAATGTATATGCATATGGACAGACTGAAAGAGCTGCGTATTAAGTGAAGCTTGAAATACTTAATACGCGTGTGAAAGAACAACACAATAGCAAATACTTAAGCACATCTACATATATAGGTAAAGAAAAGAGGTACAACTAACTAGCAAAAAAAAAAAAAAACAAACAGAAACTAGAACAGCAACAATCTTTGTTTTCTTTGCGGGGTATTCTATACATAAAATGAAAAACAACTGAGAGTCAAAAACTATCAAGAACTTAAGCGTTTAGTAGAACACCTACGTACACAAAGAGGCAGCGTTTAATGAGCTTTATGGGGTCTGCAAAATCGACAAGACAACCATACTTCTATTCATTGTTTTGTTGTTATTGCAACTTGATATATGGCAATTTCACATGGGGTTTTTTGTTTCACATTGTAGTTGGAGCTGGAATATTATATGCTCATATTATAGACATTGTATATCCCATAATATGGGCTCACTTGCTTGGTTGATCAATCGTTTAGCTCGCTGGACTTAACATAAAAATGTTATATTATGCAGCTGAGCAGAACTCCTGGTTTAATATTTGAATATATTTTACGAGCATGTTCATTTTCTATGATAAATAATGGCGCGCTGTTTGTTTAAAAGTTATTTTAACATTGATAATAAGCACCTAAAAAGCTTTGAAATTAAAAGATAAACAGATGTTGACTGTAGATAATCAAGTTATCAAAGACCCTAGAGATTAAAATCCAAAAAGAATGTGAGACTAGTCTATTAACAGAGCTTACGTGCTACAATAAGTAAACTGTATTAATAGTATTCTAACAAGGAAAAATAATAAGAATAATTTTCAATTTTTCGTCATTTTCTTTCAACTACAGTTCCTATATAGAGTAAGTGAAGACGATGCTCACTAAGCAGCCAGACTATACAATCTCGGAGCTGGGCTACCCCCAGCTATACGCTCATAGTTTCTATAAAAAATGCCGCCCACAAGAGCCCTGTTTTCGCTCCAGTTGCACTCACAGTCCCAGCCACAGTCCCAGTCCGAATCGCCTGTTGCCATTACGCGAAACGCTGGATGATTACAACAAGCGGCTGCTGGGTGAACAAGCAGAGAACTGTGAAACAAGTCGAGGCAGAGACTTGGATGATAGATTGGCGCAGCAGAAAAGACAGAAGAATCTGTGGAACGAGCAGCAGAAGCAGCAACAACAGCGCGACAGACGGTAAATTAAAGCATACACTTGAAGAGTTATCAACTCAAGGCCCTATTTTTAACTATTCCGTACTCTTCTGTTCTTTTCTATTCTTTATCAATTTGCGGAACAATCAACAGCAATCAAAAATGTCGAGATAAAGCCCAAGCAAAACGCCCGACGACGAAGGCAACTTTGGTGACTTGTGATTTGAATAGTTTCTGATTACGCTGGCGGAGGAGAAGGAGGAGTAGGAGGCGAAGCTCCAGAGCTGAACTACAATAAATTAAGGGACTGATTAAAACGTGCTAAATTTAACATAAAAAGCAATTTACACACATTTTTGCATAGAACTTTAAGCGTTAATTCTAAGTAAATCAAAAGCAATAACACTTAATTTAATTGCATGCCACGCAGTTTGCATAAAAAGCAACAAATCTTATCATTTTTTTGTAGCTCAGTTAAACGGAATTTCAACGGCTCATTAAAATGTAAACGGGCTGTGGCGAGAGGCGCTTTTCAGATACAGATACAGATACAAATTCGAATTCAAACAAAACGTAAACAAAACAACAAATACAACAACAACAAAATTAAGAGCCAAAAATGGCGACGACTCTACGGGCGACCAACCTTGATCATGAGCATGTCAGAGCCAGGGGTGACGGGTGAGGGGTGGCCCATCAAATTAGCGTTTTCGGACGTGCCTTCTTTAAATGGCTAAATTGTGCACAAGTTGTGCCAGACTAAAGATCTGGAAGCACTCAAGATCAGTGGAAGCGGAGACTACTGTGTGCGCTACAAAAAATAGGATCATTGATCATATGATCGTGATCTATTACCTTATAAACAATCGAATACAACCAACACTTTCTTAATAAATATTCGTTTGGTGTTAGATCAAGCATAGAAGTGCGAGAAATAAGAGACCAGAATATTGATCAAAGACCGATCTTCATGCCGTACATTCTTATCTTTAAATGATCTACTGAAATATCTCAGGAAAAATTTTAGCTACGACAAGACAACTCAAATGAATAGGTAAACATTGCTCTGTTCGACGAACACATGACGATATTATTCAGTACATATTGAACCACAAATGATCTATAAATGAATAAGTAATGCATATAGCTTGTGCTTCTACATCAAGCCCTAGGCTAGAACAAAACGTTTCTATCATACCACAGCTTGAAATATGTATTAAAAATATATTCAAATGATAATAATTGTTGATCGGTTAGAAAGCTGGCGATTAGTTTTTGTAATTATAGCATAGTGATAATGTTCAGCGATTGAGTCAGTTTTTATAATTGCAGTACAGCTACCGTGTCCAGAGAAAACCATGAAATTTATTCATAAAACGCAAATGGTGATCGTGCTGTGACGACTCAGCTCAGTTGAGACAAATCGAATTGCTAAGTGAAAGTTACGTTTTGAAAACGTTTAACTTTAACAAGCTCGCATATGTTTTATGTTTGCAAAATAAGACCGTTTCTAAGAGTATCTTAACCTTCTTTCAATATTTAACCACGCTCACTAGTCGTATAAAGCGCATGTAGCGCATCAACAGCTGCTTCATATGAGAAACAAAAATAAAACCAAAAAATATAATTTTTGTACGCAAAACTGTCGCAATACTCGGTGGCAATTTGGTAAAGTTGAAGGTTTTGCGCTGTGGGCTTGTCAGTGATCGTGCTCTTGATCTTTCTGCTTGATTGAGCTTCAAATATTGTCATGTTGTGCGACACATATGCGAGGTAACTACAATTGATAAGATTACAACAATACGAACAAGCTGATTGCACGAGGTAAATATGTAAATAAGCTGTAATCTAGGTAGGCCAACTTTAACTGTAGCTTTAATAAAAAAGCAGCAAAGCGAACTTGTTGAGGAAGCTCTGTACATAAGAGAAGATAGCTTGCAGGGGTTGCTTATGTACGGTAATTTTCGTTGCGCCCAAAATTAAAAACCCTGGCGAGTGTATTAATGTACTAGGATATAAATATCAATTAAAGATACAAACTTGATTTAGATTGCCATACATAGAAACAAACAGGCATTGCCAAAAGAAATTTGAATGCCTTTTGAAAGTACAAGGATCTCCTAAAACGATAATTTTCGGTAATTGACTGAATAGGAAACTAAACAATGGAGTGCCTTGTGCGTGTATGTATGTAGGGAATATGAAATGTCCTGATTCAAAGGATAAACCATTTCCACAATCAACAGACTTAAACTTCTCAGAAATACATTTAATATTCTACCTCAAATAATTAATATAATCTTTTTCATTGCACTCACCTAAACAGATTGTCCGAAATGAGCAATGTTTCTATAGATTGTGCCTCAGCAGCTCGCAGGACATGCTTTTTGCCATAGTAGGCTTTGGCTGGTTCACACTGCAGCATCATGTAGAACTGTTCCAGTGCTTTAACCTCACCAGCGGCTTTCGTATCGGACATTTTGGCCACCACAGCCGGATCTTGCAACACCTCTGTAAAAATGTACAGTATTCAATTTAAAAATGTGAACAGTTCTTACGAGTTTTACGTACCCTTTAGAGAGTGCTTAAAGCCGGAGGATGCATGAACCAGCATGAATCGACTCTTGTTATCCAGCAGCACTTTATAGTCCATTTTGACCGCCTGTTGGAACATATAGTCGTAGAACTGATCGCGCACAAAGCCCGGCGAGGCAATCAGCACACACTTGACTATTTCGAAATTGACATGACGCAATATGCTTTGCATGACTTGCTCGTAGAACTTGGCTAGACCCTTCTCGTGCTGTTGCACATAGCCTTTGCGCTTTCGCGGTATGGACACCTCGATTTTGCTGCGCACCAGCGTCATGCTGGCCGTAATGAGGCAGACATGCGCCAAGCCTTCCTGCATGACGACAGCAGCCACATCCGCGGACTGGGTGGGATCGCAGGCCATGTCAATGCGCTCCAGTGCTATCGTATCCCATTCGGGTTTCCGCAGCTCAAATTTGCGATTCAACTCCAGATCGAGCGTGTGATAGGCGCCCATTTTGACGAACTGATTCTCCTCTATGTTGCGCCCCTTCAAGCGCAGCACACAGGCCTGGGTATCAAAGTCGATGGCCTCCACGGCAATGGTCAGAGTGGTGCGCACACGGCTGCTCGTCGATGAGCCTGTGGCCGTTTCATTCTGCACTTTGCGTATTGTGGTGCTACGCACGCTGTCGCCCTCAGCAATTAGGTTGTAGGCGTGCCACATGTCCTCCGGCTCCTCGGGCACGAGGGTTACATTGCTGCGATTTAGAAATAAGTATAAATATTGCATATGATCGAATACTACTTACCCCTGCATGCCCTTATCGACGTATTTCCCGAGTAATTTCATGTTGCAATTGCTGTTGTCGCTGCTGAAATTCGAGCTGAAGCGCCACCGTCTGCTGCCAGACGCTTAATTATTGCGCTGCTGCTGTTGCTTTTGTTGTTGTAGGCGTTGCGTGCTTTGTGTTTTTTGCTTTTGTATGCTTTTTGTCACTTGCATTGAGTTAAATGTTTCCTTAAGTCAAGCGAATCGTTAGGCATTTTTGTTAGTTGTTGTGGGTTTGCCGGAGATCAAGACCAACAAAAATTTCTATAAAAATTGCCAAATTCCGCACGGCGAACTTTTTGACATTTTAAAACAGCTGTTCAAGCAGTGTTGCAAAGCGGCAGTGCACAGCAGCATGCGCTCAAATATCGAACATCGATAATTGACCAGTCTATAAACAAAATAAAATTCGCAATTTAAATGGGTATTTCATATTTGTAAAAATACACTTTTTTATTAATGATACAGTTTACAGATTTGTACGCATTTTCAGAGTCCCCTCTTAACTTAAACTAACAGCCTTTCAATTTCCTGCTGTATGGATGTAATCTGCGATTTGAGCTGACTGCCCTCGTTGGTGGTCACAGAGCACGCAACAATGGGCCTAGACACACCACAGGCACGTCCCAATGCCTGCTTGGAACGCACAAACACATACGGCACGTTCTTGTCCTCGCATAGCAGTGGCAAATGCATCAGAATCTCAATGGGCTCCGTATCGCCGGCAAGTACAACAATGTCGGCTAAACCACGATTGAGTGTCTTGGTGGCCTCGTTGGCTCCCTTGCGCAGTTGATTGTAGTTAAGTGCCTGCTGCAGCAAATTCATGATCTTGGCGGTCAACTGGGCATCGGCCAATGGGAATGCTTTCGGGTTCACTTCTTCGGTCTGTGGAAAATCGAAGCTTCCATGAGTAAAACATTTTAATGAATGCTCAAATACAATCATACCATTTTTTATTCGTTTTTGTTTTATGTATTTATAAAAATATTAATGCAACCTCTCGGCTTGTGTGCTTCACTGAGGGGCAGAGTAATGAATGAAACGTTTGAAGAAACACGTGCGTTGTTGGTATTTTTTGTTGCTTCCTAGCACTGAAAATATTCTACATACAGACTATGTGGCAACACTGCGTGATTTATTTATATATCGATAAATATCTTACCGAGCTTGTAAAACCGCCAAATACGAGCATTATATGTTTTAGGCCACGAAATATCAGTTTAATATTTTATTTAGTTGATCTTATAATTTACCTGGTTTTTTATTCAGTTTAGTGTTTGCAATGCTTAGATGTATTAAAACAGTCCATATTCTGTGAGCCAGAGTACTGGGTCAACATAAAATTAATGAGTGAACTAGTGCAGCTCAACCAGATGCCCCAGACGTTATATATACAAAGATCGGTGTTTAATTTGCACATTGTTGGTATCTTTTTGCCCCAATTATTTAGTTAATTACTCTTATGTATGTCGAAATGTGTCCAAAAGCAAACGATTCGACTACTGGCAGTTGAAGAAACCTTCTTGTTAAGAACCAAAAATCATTGGGTACATTTGCTCGGATAAAGGTAAAATATATAATCACTTCCTTAGTGACAGCTACCCATCCAAAATAGGTTTATCTAGGACAAGCTCCAGACTATCATGGATGGTGGCATAACTAGGCTAGTCAAGCAGCTATAGGAGCTAATTTACTAACACAAAACAGGCATTAAATGAGGTCCATTTCAAAACAAAAAACTTGGTTTATTGTATTTCTCTGTGTGGTTTCCAAATGAAATCACGATTCCAAACTGTTCGAACATGCTCGGGCTCGCCAGTGTTCATTTCGGTTCAAAAGAAAACACAAAATAAGTGGACCTTACGTTAAATACAAAAGGAATTCACTTTATTACCAATTCTTGTTGTGTACAATTTATTTAAAAGTTCCTGCAAAACAAAAACCAGATTTAATGATTTGATGCTATTGGTGAAATATATAGGAATAACTCACTTGGTAATGAGGCCATCCTTCTTGGCCAGACGCACAATGCAATCGTCGGACTCGCCCATGCGACGGATCTCACCGCAGATGGCATAGGTCTTGGTGCCATCGGTTTGGCGACCGGTCTCGGGATCCACAACAACAATGCTCAATTGCACGGAGGCGTGATCCTTAGCGTGGATGATTCTGTTCGATGCCGAGCTGCAAACAAACAATAATGGTTATCGAATTGTAAATTCAGCTGCTGCACTGACGGCCCGGGCGAGCCGCGAAACACGTGTTCAACACCTACCATTTGCGGGGCACGTACAAATCAACATTCTCACCGGCGTCGTTCTCCATTATGCTGTAATAAAAAATATAACATTTTATCAGTATTTTGTGTGCGTTTTCATATGCATAAACGTATTTTTACATACATTTTGTAATAATTTACAAATTAGCGAACCAACACTCGTCAATGGAGGCTAAAAAGAGAAAGAGTGAAGTTGGCTGCGCTATAGGGTTGCAACAAAATATCGATATATCTGTAAATGCTCTTCTGTGCAATAGAAACATAAACAATTTGTATATTAAAAAAAATTTATTTGAATTTGTTAAAATATAATTTAATATTCATCGATTTTCCTCATCTTTTAAATGTAATTTTATTATTTTCTTAACATCTGCTGTTCAGTTGCCTTCATTTAAATATTTTAATTTAATATTAACAAGTCGCAAGCAATTTCAACAGTGGTTTTATACATTAAACAATTTGTAAGAATTTAATCACGGCGCATTCTAATATGCGGACTGGATTTATATTTATTTTATTTAATAGTTTGCGATGTTTTGTCGCTTGTTGCGCTAAATGTATCGATGCTTCTTATCGAATATATCGATTGTTCGAAAACCGTTCATAAATATTTATTAGTCGTTTGGCAATGTGAAAGACTAGTGCTGCATTGCATCAATTTTGGCGCCGGAGCTTTCACGGCCTTAGCGCCCATTGCAAAGTCGGTAGCTGTTAACCCGTAGTCCTATATCCATAGAATATAATAGACGCAAATAGTTAAATTAGTGGTAAAAGTGTGTGCTCATAATAAATTGAATATAAGTGAACGCGCTCTGTGGTTACTTTGAATGTGAGTATTGATTTTGGACAGAGGCTGTGGCGTCGGCGTCCTTGATCCGGTGTCAGCGCCGATTTTCCGTCAATGGGACTTCCGCAGGACTTTTTTACTTGCGCCAACTGTGTGTGTATTTTTATGTGCATGTGTGTGTGGGTGTGTGAAGGTGTTTGACTGTGTGAGTTTGTTATTATTACGGATTAACGCGTCTGACTGGCTTGTATTTGCAGTTCATATTGTGCACTGGGCGAAAGTATTTTAATATACACATTATTGTACCGTTGTTTGTAGTAGTTGGATAATGCGGAAACTTTATAAAACATTTTTTTTATAATATTAACGCAGCTGGTGCATAAGAAAAATGTATTTTAGAATAAGCAACCGATAAGCGTCTTATTGCTGTTCAGCTAAATATTTGTTCCGTTAAATCGAAAAAAAAGGTTTAACAGTTTCTATTCAACACAACATAACACTCGATCAGCATTAACAGTAACATAACATGGCCTGTTAACATAATAAAGCGTGAGATCTTTGAATTGGCCAGATTTGCCGTTACTTCAATATCATATTTACCACAACTTAACTCCTAATTAATAATATACTAAATAAGAAGCCAGCTACACATATTATTATTCTGCTTAGCTTTATAAGGCTAAAACCAATTTTAGATTCGTGTATTCCACAGCGCAGCAGGTTCTGTTGTCCAACTATTTGGCTTGGCTTCTCAGTTGACTTTCAACTTTCAACGCGTTCGGTTGCCTCACGTTGGTTGCTCTGCCAAAAGCTTTGCGGCGTGGTTTTCTTTTATGTGCTCTCAGTACGTTGCAGTCGTAAATTTCTTGAACAGACTTCATAAAGCGCCGGCTGACAGCCTCTTGACCTTTGGCGCCTGTGTGTGATTTTTGCATATTGTAAAAACAGAAAATGTAAATTTATGCGCTGAAAATGAGATCATTTGTTGAGTGTTTTGTCTAACGTGAGCTGCTATTTTTAAACGATATACAAAATCCCACAACAACAGAAGCATATGCAATAAATAGTTGCTGCCCAGGCATTATTAACCAAAATGAAAGTGAAGCCAATTCAAGAAAAAAGACATTTTAATAACATTAAATGATTATGCATAAAATTGAATAGGTTTCATAAAAAGAAAAAACATATGTGGTGTGCCATTAGGCAATAAAATGTTTATATTGATTATATCGAAAATTGAATGATAATGGCCAAGTAAAACTAAAATTATTGCCATAGTTATTGATAGCGTAAAAAATTGTATTGCCATTAAGAGCTGGCAACACAAAACATTTATCATATTTAATACTTATCTCAAGTATTTGATCTAGAACCTTAGGTAAACCAAGGCAAGCTACGAATTACCTCTAGAAATAGATTAACGTATATAATTGTCGTATAGATAAACAAAACTAGTCCGGTAAATCACATTCTAAACTGGGGGAAATACAAGCTAGAGCGAAATGAGAAAGCATTGCTTTTAATTAATATCAAAACAAAACTAACAAAGCGTCTAGTAAAAAGTAATTAAACTGAGCCCACATTTGCCGTTAGAGCCTTCAAAATAATTCTCAAATGCCAGCAAATGAAAAGTAGACGAAAAATAAAAGAAAATATGTTTGAAAAAAATGTGATGTCAGCACCAAAATGCGTGCCTGCTGTGCCGCATGTTGTTGATGACGTCTAGAGTACATGTAGAAAAGTTTAAGTAAAGCACTTTCTAGGTCAAAAGTTGAAAGGGAACACAGCCAACGAGACGCTGATGATGCTCGTAAAAAACATCAAGAGAGAAAAAAAAAAAAAAAATACCAAAATGTGGTCTGCATGAAATGCAATAAATAAAGCTACGAGCAAAGTAAAAGTCTATTGCCTGGCCTTTTAGGCCCGTTGACCCCGCCCACCTGTCATTTGTCGGGGCGTATCGACATCAATTGGGAAAATTATAAAATTCAAAGGAAAATAACAATAATTGCTCGCAACATGCAAAATCAAATGGAATTGCATGACAGTAAAAAAAATAGATAATTGCAGAGCATTTAACTATCCTAAGGAAACCAAGAAACTAACTGATGTTCATTTAGTATGAATGTGTAATGTTATCAAACGTGTACAGTAGTCACTCGCATATTGAACACTTCGGCTCCAAGGACCTACAAGACTACTATAACTGCAGCTCGAATCTTGGGGCCTCGGGTCGTACTATATTGGAGTTTTCTTTAAATTAAAGCACATTTTTTATCGTTATAAGGCAAAGATAATCAAAGCAACAAAGCAACGTTTACAACCTAATCTTAGCCTGTTGTTATAAAAGCTCCTCTTTAATTTAAATCTTCTTCGAAGTGCATTAAACTTTGATTCTTACAAATTCACCAGCTACTCTTTGCACACTAGCTGGCTCTATGATTATGTAGGAGCCACTATAATTATATCCCTTTCTTTGAAACAATATTAAATTGCGCTCTTGTTTGCAATTGCATTGAAACTTTTTCTTTGCTTTGCTTTTAGTTTTTTGTTTTGCATTCTAATTGGTTAGTTGCTTGGGAAACCTGTCGACCCGACAAACAGCCAAACTCCTCGCTCGTAACTCCCAATGCCCCGACTTCTAATCCCAGCTGTCTATGCAACTTAATTCTGATATGCTCCGTGACTCGGTTTGCTTTTTATTTTGCAGCGCTTCGACTTGGGATACTTTGGAACTGGTCGGTGGGTCGGTCGGTTGGACAATTGGACGGACGTTTCGTTGGTTCCTCGATGATGATCTCTGTTATTGTTGCTGCTGTTGTTGTGATTTGATTGGTGCCACTTGCCCGTTGTTGTAGTTACTGTTACTATTGTTGTTGCTGCGCTATTACTGTTACTAGAAGTTGAAGTTGTTGGTGCTGTTTTCTGGTGCTCGACCTGGAGCTGAAGCTGGAGCTGGAGCCGGCTGAGTTACACTTTGTAAATCGGTCAATGGTAACGGGCCTGTAAGCAGGTGCAACTGCAACTGCCACCAAACCAAAAGAGAGAGAGAGAGTAAGAGAAGGAGCGGGAACGAGTGGAGACAGCACAGAGCTAAGCAATCAAAACATGTCACTAAAGGTGAGTTTGACCTATATAAAGTTGATTACCGGCAAGCTGCTTAGACATTACCCATTTGGGCAGCTTGTCTAGGGGAGAGTGCGGGGTGGGAAAAGATATAAGCATTACCTCTTGAACGCGCAGCGATAATATATTATTTAAACCAATAGAAGGTAAGCTTATTCGACTGGATTGAGATAAGAATTAAAGAGCACAAATATATAACAGATTATTAGCTTCTATAAACAAAAAAATCAGTCAAAAAACCCCTTCGCTTATAAATATAAGATATATAAATATATATATATATATATAAATATATATATATATAAATATATATATGTATATATATAAATATATTTTCCAAGCTTATAATTTGTAGATATTATTATGACACAGGCTAAGGCAGCTTCCTCTCATTGACCTCGTCTCAAAAAAAAAGATTTAGCATGTGAATTTTTTATATATTTTCTTAATATTTAAAATATTTTCTTAATATTTAAAATATTTTCTTAATATTTAAAATATTTTCTTAATATTTAACATATTTTCTGAAAAGACGTGAGTTAACTTCTATTTTCATCATATCTACACTGCGTTTATTTGATCTACTTGAGTGTAGCTGAACAAGATAAATTACTCACACTTTTTTTTAACTCGCGCGAAGACAAAGATCGCCGTCATGCATTAGCCAAGAATATACTATATATAGTAAATATTTGAGAACTTATTGTTAAGCTCTCTTCATAAAGTGTAAGAGAGCATGATGATTTACAGCAATGCCCATTTGTATGTCTGAGAAAAAGTACTGAAACTTGAATTTGATTTTAGGCGAATCGAAGTACTCGACAAACTAGGCAAATGAATGTCCCCCATTGCTTTAGAGTTAAGAGTCCTTATATTTGGCATTCTGACCTCTTCATGTCGATGTCATGACCTCTACTAAGCAAAACACATCCCTCCACAGCTTGCCCTATGCTTTTTTGAAGAGTATTGTGCAGTCGGTTAAGTCCGAATGCAACATTTCTACCTGTTGTTTTTCGCTCTTTGTCGTTTATACTTTGGCTTTTGGCATGATAATATCGCATTAGGCATGCTGATAGAGCGAGAGAATATATATTCCAAAGCAGCTCAAGTGGACACTTGACTATGGATGCGATTGCACAAATATCAAGTCGAAAGACGACTATTGTTAGCATTTGCACTTGCCACAAGAGTGTGTGGCACAAGCGTGTTGCAAGCGCCGTGTCTAGCGTTTGTCTGAAGGCTTACAAGTGCTTC